ACCTTGTGCCCATAACACAAGTGGCACACCACGTGTTATTATGTAAGTAGTGAAAATTTTTATTTTTTGTGTACTTAATTTTTTAACACAAGAATCTCACAACTTGTATAGAGACACGTGGTGTACCACCCCGTGCTCCGGTCACATTGAAAAATTTCTCATCATCTTGACTATTATTGGGAAAAAAACACCACAAATATAAAACTGGGGAATGTAATTCAGTTTGAACTCTTTTTCTTATTTTAGCAAAAATAAAATAAATAAAAAATATATTAATGTATCAAACAATCAAAAAAAGTGGAGTGTGGAAGGGGGTTGGGGGATGCGCCCAGCGCAAGTTGGGTTTTTTATGTTTTTTTTTAATTCTTTTGTCTTTATCATTAAATAAAGTTAGTAGATGATTTTTTATTAAAATGTAAAGATTTGATTTTTTTTTCATTAGTTTTTCTTTAAGAAATATCAACTCAAGTAGAATTATTGCCATTTTTCCGACCCAAGGAAAAGAAGACTTCAATTATTAGGTTATGTGAATCAACTGATAGAGCCAAGCAGAGATCGCCACCTACCTAAAATTTCAAGAGGAAATCTACATTAATGATTTGGTGAGATGACTCAAATGTGAGAACCAATCAGAGAGCACCAAAAGATAAACCTCGGTACTCGAGCAACAAAATCACAAACCAAGGAATGCAACGATTATGAAGTACTCAGTTATATTTCAGGAAAAAGACTACAAAACCTACTACCCCAAGCCTATAATGTTATATCATCAATGGTTTACAGATAAGAATCAGAATAAGCATCATAATCCAAAAAACATGATTTTATCACGCAAAGAGAAGAAGGATATCAGCTGAAGATTTTCTGTACTTAATTATCAAACCACCGCATACTTTGATAATTAAGTACAGAAAATCTTCAGCTGTATAGTTTTATGCCAATAGAAGCAATATGGCTTCGCCCAACCCAACGAAAGGGTTTTCTTTATTTGTTGAAAAAAAATTTCACATGCAACATTCATTTACCTGTAATTGAAGAATACGAAGCGCTGGAAACTGGAATTCTTCCACAAAAAATCAAAACAAACTCCCCTGCAAAGGAACCATACTTAATTTCAGCAATCTTATCTAAGATTTAAAAATAATTTTAAATCTCATACTAAACAAATTTTTGAATCTTAAAAGAAAATTGTTTTTAAAAGATATTCTTAAAAAACTGTTTTGAGAAATAATGATTTTTTTTTAATATCATACCAAACAGGCCCCTAAAAGCCTTTGGAGCCTGAAAACAAAAGTTTCAAAATCAGAAAAACCAATGAAACCAAACCCAATTTAAAACAAACTTTTCAAGTATTTGAATATTATTTATGGATTAAAATCATTTTTCCATTTTGTATTTGTATTAATTCTATGAAGCAAGCCATTAGTGAAAAAAAAACCATTAGTGAAAAAAAAAACCAAATTCAACACATCTAGAATTCAAGAATCTTGAGTACCTAACTGACCCACAACCACTACTCTTTTTTATAACAAAGCCTCGACCATTAACTCAGAAAAGACTGCATGCTACCCAGAAAAAAAGAAAAAACAAAAAGAAGCCCCAAATTGGTAGGAGAACTCACCATGAAACCGAACTTTTTCTGGGCTTAAAGCTTTCTTCGAATCGGGACCGGATTGTGTTGTGGTTAACAGGTTTTGAGAGAGATTGTGCTGGGGTTCGTGGTCTTTTTAGAGAGAGGATTTTTTGGTTCGTGGTTTGTGATAGAGAGAACTGGGGAGATTCTGGACGCAAATGGAACAAACAGGTATCTTCTAAGAGGTAGTGGCACCCCCAGCCAACAAATAGTAAGGGGAAATTTGTAAATCCGCTGTTTAAGATTAAAAAGCAAAGCAGGAAAGGGAAGAAAAACCAAAGGTATTTTCGTGAAATCACTGTTGGTAAACCGTGTCCCATCAACTGAAGTTTTCGTATAGATATAATGATACAATACTAATAGTGCCGTATTATGGCGGCTGGAAGCTGATTGGAAATCTCACAAGGCATGGAGGAGCCTTTGGTCAAAAGCAGAGCGAACTTTAGTCACAAAGCAGGCACACCTACCATATAGCTTTTTGGTCTGTCATATTATATATTTTATCCTATTTTAGTATGTTTTGGTAATTATTTTGGTATAATTTTGATACTTAACTTTATATTTTCAATATAAAACATTTGACATCCTTTGGAGCAAAACGTGATCAAACGGGTGAATTTTAAATTGATTCAAATTGGAGGACGTTCGTGAGTCCTTTAGCTCGTTCGTGTCAAAATTTTGGTTTTTTTCTACCAAGTGGTTATTTTCTAGCGATGAAATAAAAAAGCAATGCGTGATGCTGAAAAGTGACTTTTTTGGCTTAATTACGATTTTATGAGCCTAAGATGACCTCTGTTGGGTTCATGACCTTCTGGAGAAGTGTTCAGATTATTTGAAACTTTAAATCCAGCTATTTTGGGCCACTTTTGGAGGAGATTTGGATCCAAAACGTCGTTGTGCAGATTTTGAGCTGATTATCCTAGTCAATTTAGGATTATGTTTTCTAATTTATTTCAATTTATTTGGTCTCCTAATTTTATTTTAAGTCATTTTCTAGGAAGGATTGGATTTTCTAAGTAGTATAAATAAGCCATTGTGGCCGGCCCTATGTTCTTCTTTTCAACGTGATATATGAGAGAGAATTTTGGCCAAAGTTTAAGAGATTTTCAAACTTTATTCTACAAGGTGTTTTCACTCTTTTTCTATTTCAATAAAACTCTTTTGGTTGAATATGCATAATTAACTTTCTTTTGCTAGGGTGGGGCCATTAGCCTTAGCATGAATATGTGGTTTTTATTTTATTGCTTATGATATTATGTATGCATGCTTTGAATTATTAATCACTGCATTTAAATAGTCTCTATGTTTTAATGCTTTGCTACCATTAGAATGTTTAGATAAGCAATCAGACGCAATTTATGTTGGAATGTCACCTTGAAATTGAGGAATGCTTCTTATGATTAATAATTGTAAGTCAATTAGGGCGAATGCCATGTCTTAAAGGTAGCATGATTTTTCAAAGGGTTTTCACAAAACATAATGAGTCATGCATGTTTATATTTGATATGAATGCTATAGACGGATTGCATGTTTGATATACGTTCTATCTTGAATGCCACAAGTTAAATATGCATTAGGAAAACCTAACATTCAAAGTTGCATGTGTAATTCATAAGTAATTAGTGAATCTACAAAGAGTTGTTAAGATGACAGTGGAACCCTAATGCTTTTACAAATCTATTTCTCAAGGCCATTTCTTTTTAATTTGATTTCTTTAAAATTAATTTCTTGTTGATTTTCCTCAATTACTTTTATTAAATTCGTTTTTATTATTTAGATTGAAAAACCACTCTTTTCAAACTTTGTTTTCAAATAATTAACTAAGATTTTATTTTTACATAAATTGTTTTAGATAATCCTTGTGGGAACGACCTTACATGAGCATTTTTACTACAACTACCTTGTTCTCTTACAAGTATTTTGTATGATTTTTAACCCTCTTTATGCAAATACTAAAAATCCTATCAGCTGGCCATCACGTGGATTGGTGACGAATCCATAATATGCATAAAGTCATAACTCAAGTTTTCAACTATTAAAATCTACCGAAATAGGGATAAGCCCAAATTAAAACACCTGCAAGTAACCACATTTATTGCATCCCCGAAGGACCACACTTAATGGGTCTCTGACACTATCTTACATGCATACAAAATCATACACTAGCCGTAACTAGTGTAAGCTGAAATCTAATTATGTCATTGTCGAGTAATCTCGAGATGATGACAAGCTGAGAATATAAATGTGTAATCATGTCACTACCACCGAGTAATCTCGAGGTAATAGCAAGTTGAGAATATAACTGTGTAATCACGTCATTACCAAGTAATCTCGAGGTAATGACAATTGAGAATATAACTGTATAATCAAAAGAGGAATTAGAACGGTAAACTCTGGTTTGCGCTTGCTCTGAAAGTTTCAAGTCATATTCCAAAAAGTACCAGAACGCGCATCTCAAAATCCCAATAAATATACTTCGGAAACGACTTCAAATCATGGAGGAAATAATATAACTCAAGCACAGGAAATCGAAAAGAATGGATGACAACGCATCTTCCAATCACGTTTCAACGTATATAAAACGCTTTAGTTTCTGATTTGGTGGAAGACTTACTCACATATAAAGAACGTATCTCGAGCTACAATAAACTTAGCTATACAAAAAGTAAACAGTAAAGTTGAGCATTGACATCAACAATGTCATTTTCTCAATCACCAACGTCAGTACGCGATTAAAGCAAACACAAGAGAAAATTGTAAAAGAAATACGTTTGAGCAATCTTAGCAAATTTCAGGGCAAATCAACTTAGCGCAAAAGAAAGAGTCAAATTTTGAATAGCGGTGAGTAAACAAGTTAGCAACAAAACAATGAAAATTGTAAGAATTGAGAACCAGAAAATATATAGCTTGAAAGGTGAAGATTCCTAGAGGAAAACTTCACTTTGTCAAATTTTGAATAATGGTGTCGTAGTTTGCTCTTCATTAATTGGCCAGATATGAGAGAAGCGTCTCAACAGAAAACAAGCTATGTATTTTGGCTGTCATAGGCTCAACATTATCTATTCTAAAACTGAGGAAGAATTTGACTGTAGCTACAGTCAAGTTTTTGCCCCTCTATTTCACGTTACTTACAATAATGCCATCAGATTTGGCTGAATATTTACATCTCTACCGCTGACCATAATTTGGGTCTTTTAGGGCTGTTGGTTTTGGGCCCGAAGTGGGCTTCGATGGTGACCATTGAATGGGTTAAAGCCCTGAACGTCAAATGCCTATTTTATCCTATCTACTTTCTAAATCCGACGCATCGGATTGGAAATTGCGTGGGTATTTTGGTCATTCTCAGGTTTGGGAGAGTGGTGGTGTTGCCGAGGGTGAGGGAGGAAATTGAGGGAGGTTATCACTGACCCGATTGAGTGAGGGATTTTGTGAGGATTCCACTGACATGATTGACTGAGGATGGTCTGACATTCGGTAAGGCAAAAATAGAAAGAGAGAGGCGGGTTGCAGAGGCAGAGAGAAAGAGGGAGGGGTGGGGGCACTGAACAGTAGCAAGTAAGGCTCTTCTAACAGGAGCAACCAAGGTGTTTTGATGCTTTATTTTGGCGGTGAAAGGAAGGGTCACATGTAGAGAGAGAGGTTTCCTTTCGCGCACATTGTTGTTTCCATCCGTTTCAATCGCTTCGACAGCAAGCCGCCGCCACCACCACCTAGAACAAAAAATAAACACCCGCCACTGCTCTTCAGCCATCGTCTCCGGCGATCCATTCAAATCTCCGATCGAAATAGGTATTTACTTCCGATTCCATTGATTTCAGATCGTTCAAACTGAATTATTGTTGAAATTGTGTGATGGGTTGAATGCAGAGAGAAACTTAGGGAAAGACGAGCGACGTATTCAAAGGGTACGAGCGCCACTAAATTGAGCTCTCTGCCAACCTCATCAAAAAGTGTACGGTAGCTTATTTATGTGTCAGCGAGCTCGGTTTTGGTGATGTTTGGTGCCCAACAGTGTTGCAAGAAAAAAATGAGTGGAAAAAGATGAAATTGGATTATGTGTTTGTCTAATTTGTTAAGTAGTCTGAAATCCAGAGGTTTATTTGGTCCCTGCCACTGAACTTTGATTTCTGCTATTAATCGCTGCTGAAATGTGACTTTTGCTATTAATTTTTTACCTTTCATATTTATGCTACTTTTGGATTCCGTTCGAATTAAATATTGTAGTTAATCTTGATATGAATTCTCTCTGCAACAATAATTAAGGATTTTAGTTTAAATTATTACTATTTTGTTCTTGATCTGGCATTGAATCTTTCTTAATTTGGACTGCAGGTGGTTTTGACATGGAGGAGAAACTGCAAGAGGTTATGATCTTGCTGCACTTAAGTACAACTGTTCTTCAACTCATATAAACTTTCCGGTAGGGTTCAAACTGTTAAGAGTTTTATGATTTTGTAAAAGCTTTTTAGTAGCAGAAGCTTGGTCTTTTTGCAGTTGCGTTATTACACTATACAACTTGAGTTAGTATGGGTTTCTTGCTAACAGATATGACTTAGGAATTCTAAAAGCGGTTGCATTTTACAATATACAACTTCAGTTAGTATTAGTTTCTTAATGAGTGGCATGTGAATGTCAAATTTTTTCTTAATTTAATTTCTGAAAGAAATGCGTTTAAAGGTGGTGCTATGTGATGAAGTTAGCCTTCTGTTTTTTTATTATATACTGGTGGTGGACATTTTTAGCATATTGGTTGAGAAAGATTTATCATTTTCTATAAGATAAAGCTTCATTCTCACCATGTTGTTGATGTTTGTGATTTGAGTTTATAGTGCTTCTAAATGCTGTTTTAATTTAGGAATTTGAATAATTGTTTTAATTTAGGTTATTGCAGGATTTGAAATTTGTGATGATCATTTTCATATTTCTATAAATTTTGAGAGAAAAAAGCATGTGAAAAAGCACATTAGTCTCTAGGTATAAATCCCATTAGTCTAATTATGGCTAGGATAAAAAAGCATGTGATAAAGTGAAGACGGGGATAGAGAAAAGGCTTTTGGGAAAGTGCAAAATGGGATGAAGATGGTTTGGGGGGAGGGAGGGGAAGGAGGAAATTACTCAAAAGAAAGGGAAAACAGGGGAACAAGCTTATTCAACTAGCTATCCAGCCAGTTCATATAGTGTCTTGCAAGTTGACATTGTTTTTATGTAGTAAGTTTGAAACCAAACTTATGTGTGAAATTAAGGTCATTTACTATTAGATCACAGCCATACTATTGTCTAATGGTCACAATTTCATACTACCTCTTTATTTCAACCAACCACTATAAAAAATAATGACTTTGCTAAGAAGACTAAACTTTGTATTTGAAAAGAACCACTAATTTAAAAAGAAGACAATAAAACACTGATTGAAAACCATAACCATAAATATATTGGCTCTTGATGTTAACTTAATAGAATGTAAAATCAAATTGAACTGCTTATTTTACCGTATCGATTCACCTATCTCTTGATTTTTCAATTATTTGGAGATGACTGTTAATTTGTGATTTTGTGGGAATTACTCAAGTAAAATGTGCGTTGTCTAAATTGCTGCATTTGAGAATGCGATTGTGTTGCTGCTGCCTTTTGAGTGAATTTTTCTATGAATATTATTCATGGCTGTTGTCAATTATAGTTTGAAACCCCACAGCAGAGCGGGGGCAATTTTTCTAGTATTAAGCTGTAACAGATACCAGAAAACCGAAAAGCTCTATAGACAGTAATTTCGTATGTTCGTGATGGTAGTTTAAAGTACGGTAGACAAAAGAAACAAATAGGACAACTATTAGAACAAAACACAATGAGAAGATATTGTAGTAAATGATCACTTCTTGCTCAACATTGCGGAGGAAATACTAAAAGCGGATTTTTTGCCCCAATGACGAAGTGGAAATTTTAGACTATTATGCGACAATACGATATAATCTGAATTGTAAACTTTGGAAAACATCTTCAAGGAATAAGGGCTCGCCCTCAGGTGGATGATGAAGCTGGTACTGCGTCAAATCTATGCCCTCAATGTGGTACTGAATATGGTGGGGTTTGCAATCAAAGCACTATCCATCTGCAATGTCAAGCATGCGAAGGAATGACGCCTCATGAAGTAATAACAGTGTACCTCAACACTGTTTAGGATGTGATCAGGCATTTTGTGGTACATATTGGCACGCAGGGGTTGCACAAAGTGATTCTCGCTGTGTGTGCATTCGCGAGACTTTTAAACCAATCTCAGAACTGACCATCTCTAGAATCCCTACTTCCGCACATGAAAACAATCGACATGAACAAGTTATCACTGAGAAATGTATTGCACTGTTGGGAAGAACATTGCAGGATGTTATTGCAGAATGGCTTGCAAAGTTGAACAACAGAGAAATTGATCGAACGAGGATGCCCCAGAATCATGCTGAGGCAATAACTTCTGGGACACCTACGTGCAATTACTGTTATGAGAAGCTGATCTCCTTGCTCTTGTACTGGTTTCGGATTTCGATTCCCAAATATCATCTACCCACAGAGGCATCAAACAGGGAAAATTGCTGGTATGGATATGCATGTCGGACACAGCACCATAATGAAGAACATGCTCATAAAAGAAATCATGTGTGCCGGCCAACTAGGGGCACTTATATGTAGATCTTCTTTCTCTTGTTTCCTCTGTTTTGAGAATTAGAAATTTATTACAAGCTTATCTTCTCTGGTACTACTGAGATTTTCTGGCAGCCAACATTTATGCATAGGAGTTGTTTACTTTTGTTTGCTCATAAGTTTCGCGTACATATCATTGCACGACTTCAAACCTACACATGCGAAGCAACTTGAAAACTTTTGAAGCTCTGTGCATCCCTGAGGGCATGATGAAGTGGTAATCATTTGATAAAGACATGATTAGTAGATAAGATCATCTTGCAATACTAATTAAACAAATCGAATTTAGGCCGCTTGAGATCGATTAGTAGACAACCGAGGGTTTTCGATACTCTGGGCTTACAACATTCAAGCATGATCATAGATTCACAGTTCCACAGAAACGAAATCATCATCCATATTTTACAAACCAAACATTTGAATTCGAATTCCACAAAGTACCAAAATCTACCTCTCAATAGACATAATTTGGCAAACAAACTTGAAAAAGGAAATTCGGAAACTAGGGCTCGTAAACTTGTTGAAGCTCGTTTTTCACCGAAGACTAGTTCGTTCAACAAACTGTGGTATAATAGAACCACCGTAAGACACAGTAAGAAACGAGGAACAATTCCACTCCATTTAACCCATCAGTTTCAAGCCTTCTGAGAGATGGTAGCTGTGCCAATGCTGGCATTGAAAAACAATATTCACAATCCACATGTCGAAGAGTAACAAGATGAGAGAATGAACGAGTCATCTGGAATTTTTGTAGCTCCGTATGTTTCTATCGCAAATACTTTCATGTTTATATGGGACTGGAGTACCTGTAAAATTTGTTATTACGAGAATATTAACATTTGAAACATGTTTATGATTTAAATTTTTCACAGCCAGATCGTAAATAAACACATAAACGCACGTTGACGAATTACGTACCATTGCAAATCATATCTTTCGGCCAGAAATCGTTATGTTGGGAATGTAGAAATCTTGGCCCAATCTTCTTCCGTGTCTCTCTGGCACCGTTGTTTTAGCAATCACACTGGGAAGATATCTAGACGAGAAAGAGAAGTGGGTAGCCCTTCATCTGGCAAGCTCTGGAGTTGAGGACAATAATAAATCTCCAACTTCTCGAGAGAGATGAGGTGTCTTAACGCCTTGCCGTCAATGGTTTTCAGATTCGGATGATTGTAGATTCCGAGAGAAGTGAGAGTGGTTGGCAGCAGCCCCTCTTCTGGAAATGATTCGCCAATTTCTTCATCTTCACATCCTCTGAAGCTGACATCCAAGTATTTGAGAGAGGTGAGTGTTTGTAGACCCCACCGCATACGGTTTGCCATCAGTTCTTTACAACTCCAGATACTGAGAAAACGCAATTTAGACGGCAATCCCCCTTCCGAAAATGATTCCAATTCTGGACAATCCCTTATACACAGAGACTCGAGAGATGGGAGAGAGATTTGCATCTCCTCTGGCAGTGACCTGAATTTGTTACATTCTTTGATTTCCATCTCCTTCAAGTTGGGCGCTTGCAGTCCTCCTCCATGGGGGAAACCCACAAATTCTGGGCATCCCTGTATCTTCAAAACAACGAGGGATGGGAATTTAGATTCTTCCGGAAATGATTTAAATTCTTTACACCCTTGTATGGACAGAGACGGAAGAGATGGGAGCGAGATTTGCATATCTTCGGGCACTGACCACAAGTTCTTAAAATGGCAAATAGTTATCTCCTCCAAGTTGGGCGCAAGCAGCACTCCACCACCCACAAAACATACCAGATTCGGGCAATCTGATATTTTCAACTCACGGAGGGATGGGAGTTCAATATTGAATTTATTGCATTCTTGCGAACAAGCAAGGGATTCGATATTAACTTCCTCCAAACGTACGCCGCTCAAGTCTTGGGAAGTAGTATAACGGTATTTTCCCCGTTAGTTTGGGACAGTTCTCCAGACTAAGCTCGCAAAGATTAGGAAAATGTCCGCCTTCTTCTTCTTCACCTCCAGGGAAACACCACTCTTGCCATTCCCGCATACTGCAGAAACTCAGAAACTCTAGAGATTTAAATGCAGGTTTAATTCCCCCATAAAACTCAGACCCCACTGATTCCACTCCATTTAACCCATAAATTTCAAGCCTTTTGAGGGAGGGTAACTGCCCCAATGCTGGCAAGGAGAAACAATATCCACAAGTCTCAAGTCGGATAGTGACGAGGTTAGAGAAAGACTCATCTCCTAACCAACCTGGAAACTTTGTACCTCCGTATCCTTCTATAACCAGTACTTTTAGGTTTGTATTGGGGTGCAGGTTGCCCAGCACTCGGCTATCGTTTTCAGAATCGATAGTGTCACCTTCCCATTTCAAACGTATGTCACTAAGCTTCTTGTCCCTCAGTTTGGCCTCCAAAGCATCCTCAGCACGTTTGATATTTTGAAGCCCTGACACATGAAGATTTCCACTCAAATGCTGAAACCCCTTTAACTCATCAATGTTTCCCCCGGCATCTTTGCTCAAGACAAACTCACCTTCAAATGTTTGGAGATCTTTCAACTTGCCCATGTGGGGGGGCATCATTTTTAATTTTGTACCTCTGAAATCAAGATGGCGCAAGTTGATAAGTCTTCTCAAATCGGTGGGCAACTCAGCTAGATATATACAATTTGACAACAACAACGTTTGTAAATTATACAAACTGCATACGGTGTCAGGTAATTTCTGGATTGGAGTGAACCACAAGTCAAGGTACCGTAGATGCTTCAAGTTGCTAATCGAATCAGGCAACTCCGTGATATCATGCCCACGTAGTTTGAGAACTCTTAAACAATGTAGCACTAAAAGGAGATCAAGTCGTACTTTCGGCGATGGAAAGTGATTGCCAAGAATGAAGGTGCGCAGATACTTAGCTTCATAAATAGTGTCAAATCTCTCATAATCAACATTAGATGAATATTGCATATAAGAAAAATGACGACCCTTGCTCACAACGTCCAATGAGAAGTTGTGGTCTTCCAATCTAATGCAAAATTCTCCAGATACGTAAGTCGCCAAATCATGCATCAGATCATGCATGATGAAACAATCATTTGAAGACGAGTATTGAAAAAATGACCGTGAGATTAGATCATCAAAGTATTTCTTTCCAACATCTTCCAACCTAGTCTTCTTTTGGGGTTGTATAAGATCTTCGGCCATCCACAACAAAATTAATTTAGACTTGTCAAATAAATAATCTTTGGGAAATGTCGAACAATAAGCAAAACAACGCTTTAGCTCCGGAGACAAGTACTGGTAGCTTAGCCATAGAGCCGGCAAAATGTCAATCTTTGCATCTGACAACTCCCATATGTCACTTTTGAGCACATTTTCCCATTCCTCCACATTTGATTCAGAGCGTAAGAGACCACTGAGCGATTTTGCAGCTAAAGGAAGGCCTTTACACTTGCTCACAATTTGTCTTCCAATTACCTCCAGATTTGGATCTACAATAACACTTGCATCTTTGAAGGCATGGTTTGCAAATAAAGACCAACAGTCTTCCTCAAGTAAGTGCTTTAAATAGTGGGTTTGAAGAGTACCCATCGTAGATGCAACACCACCATTCCTTGCGGTGACAATGATCTTACTTCCATGAGCTCCAGACTCGAAGGGGCGCCTTAAGGATTCCCAAATATTGTAATTCTCATTCCAAACGTCATCAAGAACAAAAAGAAACTTCTTCCCCGCCAAAGCATCTTTGAGTTTGACCTGAAGCTGGTTTAGGTCATCACAGGTTCGTGAAGTGACTGATGCATAAATTGTTTGTGTGATCTTAACAACGTCAAATTCATCAGAAACACAAACCCATGCCTGGAGCTCAAAATGCTGCTGCACTCTATCATCATTGTATAAGAGCTGAGCAAGGGTGGTCTTTCCGATCCCACCCATGCCCACAATGGGAATAATGCCAATCTTACTACAAGTGACATCATTTGATAACAATAGTTGAATGATGGTTTCCTTCTCACGATCTCTTCCATACACATCAGAGCCTTCTACTAAAGAAGTTGAAAGCAATGTTTGTGAGATTTTGTGTCTACTACCTCTTTTCAAATCAAGGGCATCTCTTTGTTCTACAATGAAGCTTAGCCTCTCAAGAATTTCCTCTATCTTGGTGTCTACAGACTCATCAAAAGCATGGAAAGAAGCAGAGATGAGGTCTTGTACCTTGCTTGTGCTACTTCCAAATTCAGCTTCAATTTTCCGCCTCAACGCTTCTGTCTTGATCTCGTCCAGTAGGTCCTCAGCATCAAGGACGGCCTCTTTAAGCTCGTGCAGCCACAGCCTCACATGTGGGTTACGTAATTGCTTTTGCTCGGCATCATCATAAACAGCACTGACAGACATCAACTTGATCCTCAACTTCTTGAGCAACCCATCAGTCAGTTTCTTTCCTCTGATGAAGTTCCTGACCTCCTGAGAATCCAACTTCACAAATACTTGCTGGAAGAAACCCGAGAGAGCGGCCCCACCTACCACCGTCAACGCCATGATCAATCTTTTCTTTGCAAATGGAAATTTTGTGACAGAGTTAAGAGAATGTATAACAACTAATCAAAGACCCAGGAGGATCTGCAGAAGCAAAAATCTTCAACGCCATGATCAATCTTTTCTTTGCAAATGGAAATTTTAACAATAATTCACGCGGTGTTGGTCGTGGAACCTGGCATCCCTCTGCCGAGCAGCTTGAGCATCTAGCGCAGCCCTTGAATTATGCGGGCCCAGTCCAGCATCATCAGCAACATTCCCTTCCACAGCAACTGGCGCAGCGCTTTGCTCCTGTTTGGCCCAATTTCTGTTCAATTCTTCTCAGCCGTTTGCTCCCAGGCCCACCTTGGTGCTATAACTGCAAGGGCGTGTCTAAGTTGCGGACAAAGTGTGCGATCGTCCGGACAGCAATCTGATGGCTGAGATTTGGCGAGGTCTGCGTAGAACCGGTTCAATCTGCTACAGCATCGGCTCAAACGGCTTTGGTTCTTCCAAATAAACCTCTCCAGCTTAAACCACTAAGTCTTGGCTCGCTCGCCCGCCCGCCCGCCCGCTCGTCAAGATCCACTATGATAAGACCCAATTCTCAATTCCCTTAATCAACCTGCAAGTAGCACAAGAAAGCTATGGAAGAAGAGGGAAGGAGAGATGAAGGAGCAGAGCTCCAAATATTTTTGTATTTATTTTCTTTGTTGTAAATTCTGATCTGATTACAATACTCAGAACTAGTGCTCTTATACCAGTCATGACTCCTCATGCCAGCTAGCAGTTATAACAAACTCCACTAAAACATGAATAAGCCTAATAATCCCAAGAATAAGTGATTAAGCTAATCACTAATTACAGATCATATCATTATTCCCCTCTTAAAGAACAAAAAATACTCGATATTGTTCACTTTAACGAAAAATTACATTTTTACACTAAAAAGTCAATCTTGCTATTGTTCCCTTTACCCTTTATTTTGTTCTTATTCTAAAATTCAAAGATTTCAAATCATTTTCATTAATTTTCTTAAAAAATAAAACAAATAAGGGTTTTCTCAAAAGTTCAAAACAACCATATAAACCAAAAATCTCAAACCCCAATTGGGCAAATTCCAAATTAATACAGCATCAATCAATTGGGAAAAAACCCCAAATGGAAATGTACCTCTTCTCTGACTCAACAATCTGCGATCTCTAGAACAAATCAGTGAAGGAAGAAAAAAAGGCCAAAATTAGGCGTTGAGTAAATACGGAGGAGGAGCTAACCATGAAAAGGAGGCGAGAGAAAGAAGTGACGTAGTCGGAAATGATGTGCGTTTATCGATGCGTAGTGACGTCAGGGAAGCGAGCATCCGAGTCTCCACCACGCATCCGACTCGGTGGACATCGCCAATTTTCTGTAATTCTTTCCAAATTCCAATCAAGAAAAATTAAAAATTGTATGTAAATTTAAGCTTTACCTGTAGATTAGCAACAACAAAGGCAAACTGATTCCAATGGTCTGGAGAAATTTGGGTTTTAGGGATTTGAGTTAACTGAAATTGATTTGGAAGAGCAGTTTTTTGTTTCGATTCACGGTGCAGCACGATTGAAGAGGTGGAGAAGTACGGAATGAGAGAAAATTTGGTTGAGCGGTGCTGCAGACTCCCAGGGGAATAACACGGTGCTGCAGAGAAAATTTCCTTATGCCACGCGTGAAAAACATTTTTCCGTACACACGTATGCCTATATGGTAATGTGGGGATTTCAACAGCACAAAAACTAGGAACACAGAAACACTAAAAATGAGGGCAAAAACGTCAAAACATTGTTTCTTATGAACAATGTTTTTCTCATTCCACTTTAGTATATACTAGCCTCCGTGCATATGCTTACGCACGTGCAGAGGATATTTTTTGAATCACGACGTGCTATACACGACTTACACGTTTTTTAAATGTATATATTGTGTGTAAATTGACAAAATGAAAGTTAAATATTTGAAGTAAATGAATAATCTTAGATCATGCTAGAAGAAACCCTTCATAAACCAATTAAACCAGCTGAATTCACATAATAAAATCGGTCTCTATAGAATTTACATTAAGAATAGAGAAAATAATATTTAATAAATAATTGATTGAATCACATTATTGCTAGCTCATTGTGAGACTAAGCCCACCCCTCTCCATTAGTGTAAATAATATCGTTTGTTAAAAAAAATCATTTAACAACTAATTTAATCACATTATTATCCTCGTGCGAAATACTTTTTTTATAACCAGCATTACATGCCTCTTAAGATATTTTGAACGTGTTTAAAATAGATAAAATAATATTTAATAAACAACTGATTGAATCACATTGTTGCTAGCCCATTGTGAGGCTAAACACACCTCTCCCCCTTAGTATCGATAATATCGTTTAAAAAAAACAGTCATTTGACAATTAATTTAATCACATTATTATCCGCATGTGAATGATCTTTTTTATCACCAACATTGCGCGTCTCTTAAGATGTTATAAACGTGTTTAGAAATAGATAAGTTTCAAATTCTTTTCACGTTTGATTGTTTATTGGCCAAAGTTGCAAACTTTTCATTTTTGTTGTTAGGGTTTTTGAAACAATTTCCAAGTGAGACCTATCAATTTTCATAAATATTTCTATTGGTTTTCCGGTGAGAATTGTGTGAAAATTAGGTCATACAAGAGAACAAAAACAAGAGCGAGATTGCATAAACGAAGGTTCAAACTATGAACATAGAGTAAACATGATATACATTTTTGTAAAGGGGACCACATTCTGTGGTTTTGCAATCTTGGAGTCCAGGTTTTAATTCAAGAATTGAGAAAGTGTCTCTTTTAGAATGACAATTGTGTCTCCTTAAATCTGTTTGTATGTGTTCTGTGGTATAAATTATATTACTAGAATGAACCTTTTCCGGCCAGAAATGATGCCGCTGCTGGGGACCCCTTCTCCTCAAGCCTTTTTGACTCTCTTGTTAATTGGCACTTACTATCTTCCATGAATTTTGCTAGTATGTCGTTATGCTTTGAGTGGTTTGGTATTGCTGTGCTTTGAAAAAAAACTGCTGTGAGAATAAGCGGCTGTGCTGTGAGAATAAGCGGCTGTGAAATAAATCAACAGAGCGTTTGGTAAACTTTTTTGTAAAAGTGCTTTTGGAAAGAAAATCAGTCTGATAGTGGGTCTTTTCATTAAAGGAGCATTGTAGCTCCGTGTGCTTTGAAAAAAAGCCAGTTTTCCAAAGCTGCAAATAGCAACTTCAGCTTTTTCCTTTGATTTCAGCTTATTCTCACAGCAGCTTCCAAAATAAGCCCTTTTTTTTCAGTTTACCAAACACCTAAAACCCTCACAGCTTTTTTTCATAGGTGTTTTTTTTTTAAGCACCTCACTCCCAAACTAGGTCTTTAAGAGCTTTTACATTTAGTTGGAATTGTTACGATCTAATATATGTAGTTGTAGGATGTCTGAAACATGAAGTTGATATGTTTATCGGTGTTGAAATGTTAGGGGCGTTACCATAGCATATTTCATGAATCTGTCTTGTTTGAGTGCAAATCTGTTTTCTTTTCGTACTTGGATGAATTATCTAATTAGCGGTAAAGATTTTGTTCGATAATTAGAAATTAAAATTGCTCTGTTGCTCATAAATAGTTGAATATATAAGTACTTGTTTCTTTTTAAATGAACATAACAATGGCCGGTTACTTATCTTTGAGATCTAAATTAATGGTTTCTGGGTCCTTTGTGAATATATTCAAGGGATGGCAGAAGTTGGAGAGAGCTCGGGTGCAAAACCCTGTGAAGAATTCTGGGCCAAGCTCGTTCCATCAGACTTGAGATATCCGGATGTTGAAATTATTTCATATGAGATTGTAGTTTGCTCAGAGATCTTGTTCTCTTCTATTCACTAAAACGCACCAATGATGAAGTGGCAATTTTAGACTCTTATGCAACAATACAATCTAATATTGTCGTAAACTCTGGAAAACATCTTCGCAGAAAAAGGGCTCGCTCCCAGGTGGATGAAGAAGCTCATAATCCATCAAATCCATGCCCTCAATGTGGTACTGAATATGGTGCGTTCCGCTGCAATCAAACCACTATCCATCTGCAATGTCAAGCATGCGGAGGAATGATGCCTTCGTGCACCAATAAGTGTACCTCAACACTGTTTAGGATGTGATAAGGCATTTTGCAGTTTATATTGGCATGCGCAAGGGGTTTCACAAAGTGATTCTCACCATGTGTGCAGTCGCGAGACTTTTAAACCAATCTCAGAATGGACCATCTCTGGAATCCCTACTTCAACTCATGAAAACAATCGACATGAACAAGTGATCACTGAGAAGTGTACTGTACAGTTGGGGAGAACATCACAGGATGTTATTGCAGAATGGCTTGCAAAGTTGAACAACAGAGAAATTGATCGAACGAGGATGCCCCTGAATCATGCTGAGGCAATAACTTCTGGGACACCTACGTGCAATTACTGTTATGAGAAGCTGATCTCCTTCCTCTTGTACTGGTTTCGGATTTCGATTCCCAAATATCATCTACCCACAGAGGCATCAAACAGGGAAAATTGCTGGTATGGATATGCATGTCGGACACAGCACCATAATGAAGAACATGCTCGTAAAAGAAATCCTGTGTGCCGGCCAACTAGGGGTACTTATATGTAGATCTTGTTTCTCTTGTTTGCTCTGTTTTGAGAATTAGAAATTTATTACAAGCTTATCTTCTCTGGTACTACTGAGATTTTCTGGCAGCCGACATTTATGTATAAGAGTTGTTTGCTTTTGTTTGCTCATAAGTTTCGCGTACATATCATTGCACGACTTCAAACCTACACATGCGCAGCAACTTGAAAACTTTTGAAGCTCTATGCATCCCTAAGGGCATGATGAAATGGTAATCATTTGATAAGACATGATTAGTAGATAAGATCATCTTGCAGTACTAATTAAACAAATCGAATCTAGACCGCTTGAGATCGATTGGTAAACAACAGAGGGTTTTCGATACTACTAGAAAAATGCCCGCGCGTTGCTGCGGGACTTGAATGCACCATCCTTAACTACATGAATAAGACACATTTAACCTGAAAAAAAATTCAACATAATCATGAACGAACAAAAATGATAGATGAGTGATCGGTGTAGGTAAGATAAGTAGCTTAACTTTTATATACATTCAACTAAGCTGATTACAAAAGATGTGGTTGCAAAAAATGCTCTGTTTCCCTAAGCAACATGCATTTTACATATGTATTGCCTTTAAAGTTAAGATGGCAAAATATATGTCCTGGAGGCCAATCACCTGTTTTAGCAGTTAAACAAAAACACATAAAAAGTGTTTCGTTCTTGTTGCAGCAGCTAAGCAACTAAGTAGAAGAATGTTTGTTCAAGTTGATGCAATGAGAGTTCTCGTTATACATGAACACTAAGCAAAATTAACTGGGTTAGTTTGTTGATATGCAACCCAAAATTAACACTAATAAAAATAGCACTTGAATCATATGCATAAGCAAAAGCAGATATTAAACATGAGAAAAAATACATGGAAAAGAAAACAATGTTAAATATCCTAGGTGCTCCATTTATAATTCTTCTCTATTTCTATATATTTAAACTACCAATTATCAGCACAAATATTTCATTTCCTTGCAACTACCACAACCACATATAAAACATACTTGATAGAGCATGTAATTGCTTTAAGTACATCTTTATCAAAAAATTCATTGGCTCGGAAATGCAGAGTGTTGCAATGGAAACATGAAAACCGAATATAGGAGTGTGAATTAAGTGTGCCGTATGCTATATCAATGTCAACATTTCATTTTTACTTAAAATAGCCCCAAAGATTATATAATAATACAGAACTCCCCAAACCACTTACCATAACAAAAAAATGCTGAGAATAAACATGTGTCAATATGTAGCTAAAGGAAGACATAAACTACAAATCAACAGTGACTAAAAACAAAATCTCAGAGACCAAACATGCACAAACATGCAGCAAAAAGCAAAAAAAATGTTGGAAAAACTGACCTTTAATTGTGATTCTAACGAAAACAGCGAGGTTGAATGAAGCTACGGATCATGCGTAACCCTCTCCTAAAACCAAACCAAACGCAAGATAAGCTAAATAACAAATAACTTTATTCAATAAATTTACAAAATTAACTCCAAATCACTAATTTAGCCTCTTGAATTCAGCTAGAGAACTCATCAGGAAACCCAACATTTTTTTAGAATATGATTAGCATTCTCACCTGTCATTTTCAATGTGAATTTCACACTTGCTTTCGACTCTTGCATTGTCAACCACTTTTGTTCCAAATCTTGTATTCCAGTAACCGGTCCCCAACATCTTGCAATTAAATAAAGGAGCATTGTAAGATTGCAGAGATGCATAGAACAGATAAAGCTAATGACAGAAACCTAAGCTACTTCACCTCTTCCATAAGTCCATGTCTCCACCCAAGCCTAAACATCCCGACATTGCCCCGATAAGTGTGTTGTCCTCACCTGCAAGATTTACAAAGAAGCAGAGAAATTGATGCATAACCAGAGATTAAAAAATTGCAGCCAGACTAAAAGGAACAAATTGAAAACACTAAAAAGAAAACAGCAAACTGACCTCATAAACCTTTACCTGTGCTTCTCTTTTACATGCTCCTTCTGCATAAACTGCTGTAGTGTTTATTTCTCCTTTTCGATTTAGAAATCCGCAATTCTGCTATAGAAAATGAGAGAATTGAATTACACATATTTTAGAATGACATTCCACCCTCTCCTGCCAATATCCTTTTAGAATGACATTCCTACCCATTTGCAAAACAAATTACAAACAAATCATAAAAGTGTCTTCATTCAGAAAAACCTCACTTCTAAACGTGTCATGTCCAAAATTTTCTCCCATTTTCAACATGTATTTTTCAAGAAGAGACATACACTGGCACACATACAATGAAAATCATATGAAAAAAAGAGCCAAGAAATCACATAAAAGCATCAATCTTCGAAATTTTATTTTCCTTTCTCTCAATTATCACAGTCACCAAACAAAGGGTAAGTCTACAAATGTCAATTTTTATGCCACAAATTTGTGATGCATTACAATCTAAAATCACACACATACAATCATACATACACATACATGAGAGGAAAGGAAGCAAATATTTTCAACAAACGCGATGGAATTCCTTACCTGATAAAGGTTTGGTCCGGTGATGTGTACTATCCAGACTTTGCACATCCAGAAAGTGAAAAATATGACCTACCAAGGAAATCAAAGCATGCATGTGTTAGGTTTATCATTTGTCTGTCAAACTGTGCAGTAGAGACCAAAATCAAAGACATCGGTGTGTTTTACCTTTGAATCCAGTTTCCAGACTGATTTGCAGTGGCGGACTGCAAACGAAGTTGCAGGCCTCCTTGATTTTCTTTTGCTTAGCGGGAGAGAAGGAGGCTCTGGGTTTATTGGGGAGATGATCGAAGCTTATGGAAAACTTATACAGCTACCCAATGGAAAACAAACGGTATTAGGCATAAAAACAGAGTAAAATGTAGAATCAATTCAGAAACTGGTAATGGCTTTATTAAAAAACAAAAAGTAATGAGCTTCTGTTGTTTAGAATGTCGTATTTTCAAAAACAAAAGGTTCAGATTTTGAATCTAAACTCAATTTTGTTCTTTGAAAAAAAGTGAAGGATAAACTTTCTTGTCAAAAAACACATTTGGCCATACGTCTATGATTTTAGGGAGAGAGAGAGAGAGAGGGAGATACCTCCTGCCTTTGCTGGAAACTTGCCAACAGGAGATTTTCTAGGGGCTGAGCCTTTAATCCTGCATAAATCAAAAGACCCATTTCAGTTCCAATATCAAAATCAAAAACTTCAAATTCAAGCAAAAGCTGGGATTTTTTGTTCCTGGTTTGTACAAATCAAATTAAAATCAGATTCTCAATTACCTTGCAGTTTCTTGTTTGCATCGGAGGCTAGCCCTGAGATAACCTCTAGAACTCCCAGGGCTGAGACTCACTCCTGAGATCACCTTCGTACCGCCCGAAACTGTGTACTGCAGCTCCTGCAACCGAGCCACACATCCATCCATCTTCACAAACCCACATAACAACACAAAACCATTAGTCCAAAACACACACTAAACTTTCATTCAATTAAGTCTCAAAAACTTTAATTAAGTTAAAAAGAACAGTCCAATTGTACCAAAACTATATACAGAAACCGAGAAAAACAGAACAAACAGTGGTGCAAAGGTGTATAATGACACTAAATCTTCAAATGAAAAAAAAAAATACCCAAACCAATATAAAAGCCAAAGTCATCCCTAGCAACTGTAAAATAACAATTAAAAAACGAAACTCATATAAGTTCACAACAAATTAAAACGCCTAGATCAACATTAACATTAAATTAGCTACAAACCTAGATAAACCAACACTAAATTAGACTATACTAATAACACATAAGCTTCAAACCAATGCCAAATCAAAAATTTGGATAAAACCAACAACAAAACCACACCTTGTTCCTGTTCTGTCTCCCTTCCCTTGCTTTTCTCTTTTGCCCACTCCCCAAATTAAGCCTTTTCCCCTCATTTTTTTTCTCTTTTGGCTGCTCACTTAACCCCTATTTTTTTTCTCTTCACCTTGCTCGATTTCCAGCCCCCCCCCCTTTTTCTTCCACATCTATATTTTTTTCCTCATTTTTTCCATCACTACTCTTGACACTAATTCTCCACTCTTTTTATCTATTAATTATTTCACTCAGTCAAAACATGGGATCACATTTTCTCAAGCAGCCCAAAAAAACTGACCAAACCAAAATCAGAAAAACATCCAAACTAAAACATACAATCACCATTGTCAAGCAGCAAACGATAAATTAGAAATACAAAACAAAGAAAAAAAAAACAGAAACACACTAAAACATGCCATCGGTGAACACCATACCTTGGAAAGGTAGACACACGCAGCTATTCGAGACCAATCCCACCGAAACAAAATTTGTGCGTTTCGACAAAAGGAGAAGAAATCCAAATATCAACCAATTGGCCCGTCGTCTGAAAATCGAGAGCGCAAACAAAATCCCAAAATAAACCAAAAGTAGGGTTTCCTTGGTGGGTATTTTGTGAGAGGGAAATCAGAAGATTTGAGGACGGAAGAAAAGAAGGGAAAGGTGGGTTCGTGGTGAGTGAAGGGGTGAAAAGAAATCCCTGGAAATCCGCCTACCCCATACTTCTCCCTTACTCTCTCTCTCCCTAAACCCATACCTCCCTGCCGAAAATCCTCTCCCCTAATCCCGACGATCCTCTCCCTCCAACCTGTCAACCCTTCTGTCCCCCTTCCCTCTCTCTCCCTGAGTCAAATTTGAGAGAAATGAGAGAGAAACGGTGCTCTAGGGTTGTAGGAAATGAGACTTACAGAGTGAGAAAAGGGAAGGATGGGGATTTGATGGATGGTTACCGAGAGAGAGTCGGGAGAGAGAAAGAGGGAAGGAAAAGGCGGTGGCAATTTTGTAAATAAAAGTGAAATTCGGTTCAAACCCACGGACAAAATTACCCTTCTAAGTTGTAATAATTACCCTTCCAACCCAGCCAGAGATATAATGGTAGTGATGTAAATAAAGCAAAATCGAGGGTCAATCATTTGACTGTAGCTAAGCTACAGTCAAATCCCTCCTCAATTTTAGAATAGATAATGGTCTGACAACATTCAAGCATGATCATAGATTCACAGTTCCACAGAAATGAAATCATCATCCATATTTTACAAACCAAACATTTGAATTCGAATTCTACAAAGTACCAAAATCTACCTCTCAATAGACATAATTTGGAAACAAACTTGAAAAAGGAAATTCGAAAACTAGAGCTCATAGACTTGTTGAAGCTCCTTTTTCACCGAAGACTAGTTCGATACAACAAACTGTCGTATAATAGAACCACCGTAAGACACAATAAGAAAAGAGGAACAATTCCACTCCATTTAACCCATCAGTGTCAAGCCTTCTGAGAGATGGTAGCTGTGCCAATGCTGGCATTGAAAAACAATGTTCACAATCCACAAGTCGAAGAGTAACAAGATGAGAGAACGAACAAGTCATCTCCTAACCGATTTGGAATTTTTGTAGCTCCGTATCTTTCTATCGCAAATACTTTCAAGTTTATATGGGACAAGAGTACCTGTAAAATTTGTTATTATGTGAACATTAACATTTGAAACATGTTTATGATTTAAAATTTACACAGCCATATCGTAAATAAACACATAAACACACGTTGATGAATTACGTACCATTGCAAATCATATCTTTCGGTTATCAATCACTACCTTGGGGATGTGAGAAATCTTGGCCCAATCTTCTCCCGTGTCTCTCCGGCACCGTTGTGTTAGCAAATCACACTCGCGGATTTCTAGACCAGAAAGAGAAGTGGGTAGCCCTTCATCTGGCAAGCTCTGGAGTCGAGGACAAAAAAAAATGTTCAACTCCTTGAGAGAGATGAGGTGTCTTAACGCCTTGCCGTCAATTGTTTTCAGATTCGGATGCTGGAAGATTCCGAGAGAAGTGAGAGTGGTTGGCAGCTGCCCCTCTTCTGGAAATGATTCGCCAATTTCTTCTTCTTCACATTCTGAGAAGCTGACATCCAATCTTTCGAGAGAGGTGAGTGTTTGTAGACCCCACCGCATACGGTTTGCCATCAGTTTTTTACAACTCCCGATTCTGAGTGAAAGCAATTTGGACGGCAATCCCCCTTCCGGAAATGATTCCAATTCTGGACAATACCATATATTCAAATACGAGAGAGATGGGAATTTAGATTCTTCCGGAAATGATTTAAATTCTTTACTCCCTTGTATGTACAGAGACTGAAGAGAAGGGAGACAGACAGGCGTGCATCTCCTCTGGCAGTGACCTGAATTCTGGGCAATTCATTATACACAAATGATTAAGGGATGGGAATTTAAATTCTTTACACCCTTCTATGGACAGAGACTGAAGAGATGGGAGAGAGGCGTGCATCTCCTCTGGTAGTGACCTGAATTCTGGGCAATTCATTATATACAAATTATTGAGGGATGGGAATTTAGATTCTTCCGGAAATGATTTAAATTCTTTACTCCCTAGTATGGACAGAGACTGAAGAGACGGGAGAGAGGCGTGCATCTCCTCTGGCAGTGACCTGAATTCATTGCATTCTTTGATTTCCATCCTCTTCAAGTTGGGCGCTTGCAGTCCTCCTCCATAGAGGAAACCCACAAATTCTGGGCATTTGTATATCCTCAAATCATCAAGCGATGGGAATTTAGATTCTTCCAGAAATGATTTAAATTCTTTACACCCTTCTATGAACAGAGACTGAAGAGACGGGAGAGAGGCGTGCATCTCCTCTGGCACTGACCCGAATTTGTTACATTCATAGATTTTCATCATCTTCAAGTTGGGCGCTTGCAGTCCTCCATGGGGGAAACCCACAAATTCTGGGCACTCCTTTATCTTCAAATAATAGAGGGATGGGAATTTAGATTCTTCAGGAAATGATTTAAATTCTTCACACTCTTCCATGGACAGAGACTGAAGAGACGGGAGAGAGGCGTGCATCTCCTCTGGCACTGACCACAAGTTTTTAAAACGGCACATAGATATCCTCTTCAAGTTGGGCGCAAGCAGCACTCCACCACCCACAAAACATACCAGATTCGGGCAATCTGATATTCCCAAGTCACGGAGGGATGGGAGTTCAATATTGAATTTATTGCATTCTTGCGAACAAGCAAGGGATTCGATATTAACTTTCTGCAAAATTAGCCGCTCAAGTCTTGGGAAGTAGTATAACGGTAATTTCCCCGTTAGTTTGGGACAGTTCTCCAGACTAAGCTCGCAAAGATTAGGAAAATGTCCGCCTTCTTCTTCTTCACCTCCAGGGAAACACCACTCTTGCCATTCCCGCATACTGCGGAAACTCAGAAACTCCAGAGATTTAAATGCAGGCCCATAAAACTCAGACCCCACTAATTCCACTCCATTCAACCCATCAATTTCAAGCCTTTTGAGGGACGTTAGCCGCCCCAATGCTGGCAGGGAGAAACAATATCCACAATTCTCAAGTCGGAGAGTGATGAGATTAGAGAAAGACTCATCTCCTAACCAACCTGGAAACTTTATACCTCCGTATCCCTTTATAGCCAGTACCTTTAGGTTTGTATTGGGCTGCAGGTTGCCCAGCACTCGGCTATCGTTTTGAGAATCAGCAGTGTCACCTTCCCATTTCAAATGTATTTCACTGAGCTTCTTGTCCCTCAGTTTGGCCTCCAAAGCATCCTCAGCATGTTTGATATTTTGAAGCCCTGAAATATGAAGATTTCCACTCAAATGCTGAAACCCCTTTAACTCATCAATGTATCCCCCAGCATCTTTGCTCAAGCAAGACAAACTCACCTCCGAATGTTTGGAGATCTTTCAACTTGCCCACTTGCCCATGTGGGGGGGCATCTTTTTTATTTTCGTACCTCTGAAATCAAGCAAGATGGCGCAAGTTGATAAGTCTTCTCAAATCGGTGGGCAACTCAGCTAGACATGTACAATTTTGACAACAACAACAATGTTTGTAAATTATACAAACAAACCTGCATACCGTGTTCGTGTAATTTCTGGGATTGGAGTGTTACACGTGTCCGGTCACACAAGTTGGTACAATGATCGGTACCGTAGATGCTTCAAGTTGCTAATCAAATCAGGCAACTCCGTGATATCATGCACACGTAGTTTTGAAACTGACTCTTAAACACTGTAGCATTAAAAGGAGATCAAGTCGTACTGTCGGCAAATAGAGATCGCCAAGAATGAAGGTGCGCAGATACTTAGCTTCATAAATAGTGCCAAATCTCTTATAATCAACATTAGATGAATATTGCAAATAAGAAAAAAAATGACGACCCCTTGCTCACAACGTCCAATGAGAAGTTGTGGTCTTCCAATCTAATGCAAAATTCTCCAGATACGTAAGTCGCCAAATCATGCATCAGATCATGCATGATGAAACAATCATTTGAAGATGAGTATTGAAAAAATGACCGTGAGATCAGATCATCAAAGTATTTCTTTCCAACATCTTCCAACATAGTCTTCTTTTGGGGTTGTAAAAGATCTTCGGCCATCCACAACAAAATTAATTCAGATTTGTTAAATTTATAGTCTTTGGGAAATATGGAACAATAAGCAAAACAACGCTTCAGCTCCGGAGACAAGTACTGGTAGCTTAGCCATAGAGCCGGCAGAATGTCAATCTTTGCATATGACAACTCCCATATGTCACTTTTTAGCACATTTTCCCACTCCTCCACTTTTGATTCAGAGCGTAAGAGACCACCGAGAGATTTTGCAGCTAAAGGAAGGCCTTTACACTTGCTAACAATTTGTCTTCCAATTACCTCAAGATTTGGATCTACAACACCACTTGCATCTTTGGAGGCATGTTTTGCAAATAAAAACCAACAGTCTTCCTCAAGTAAGTTCTTTAAATAGTGGGTTTGCAAAGTACCCATCGTAGTTGCAACGCCATCATTCCTTGCGGTGACAATGATCTTACTTCCATGAGCTCCAGACTCGAAGGGGCGCCTTAAGGAATCCCAAATATTGTAATTCTCATTCCAAACATCATCAAGAACAAAAAGAAACTTCTTCCCCTTCAAAGCATCTTTGAGTTTGACTTGAAGCTGGTCTAGGTCTGTGGTATCACAGGTTTGTGAAGTGACTGATGCATAAATTGTTTGTGTGATCTTAACAACGCCAAATTCATCAGAAACACAAACCCATGCCTGGAGCACAAAATGCTGCTTCACTTTATCATCATTGTATAAGAGCTGGGCAAGGGTGGTCTTTCCGATCCCACCCATGCCCACGATGGGAATGACGCCAATCTTATTACAAGTAACATCATCTGATAGCAACAATTGAATGATGGTTTCCTTCTCATGATCTCTTCCATATACATCAGAGCCTTCTACTAAAGAAGTTGAAGGCAATGTTTGTGAGATTCTGTGACTACAACGTTCTTTCAAACCGAAGGCATCTTTCTGTTGTGAAATGAAGCTTAGCGTCTCAATAATTTCCTTTATCTTGTTGTCTATAGACTCATCAAAAGCATGGAAAGAAGCAGAGATGAGGTCTTGTACCTTGCTTATGCTACTTCCAAATTCAGCTTCCATTTTCCGCTTTAACGCTTCTGTCTTGATCTCGTCCAGAAGGTCCTCAGCATGAAAGACTGCCTCTTTAAGCTCATGCAGCCACTGCTTCACAACTGGGTTACTTAATTGCTTTTGCTCGGCATCATCATAAACAGCATTGACAGATAACAACTCGATCCTCAACTTCTTCAGCAACCCATCAGTCAGTTTCTTTCCTCTGATGAAGTTCTTGACCTCCTGAGAATCCATCTTTTGAAATACTTGTTGAAAGAAAGCGGAGAAAAATGCTCCGCCTACCACCTCCACAGCCATGATCGATCTCTTCTTTGCAAATGGAATTGAGTTTTGCTGGGGGAGATAATCACAAATTAGCTAGCAATATCAATGTAACGAAAACTATGGTTCGTTTTCGCTACAAATAAACTAATTCAAACCAAGAGTTATTGGATTGATATTAAACAAAGACTGACTTTATTATATTTAACACAAAAGTAGATGCGTTTGGAGTCATTTCTCATCGGCTGCCTTAAAACTCCACTTTTTAGAGCAACCCTACCCCTAAATGTCTCCATGTGCTATAGGCAACCCAATCCGCCAAAGTGGATGGTAAGTTAGTAACTGTCTTTAGTGAACAGTAACTGTCTCATTACATCTCCACCAAATAGCCCAGGTTATTGGTATTAAAATATTTTTTAATAAGAAATAATTTTATTTTTAATTTGGAATGACAATAAAAAATTGGTTGAAAAGTATTTGAAAATATTGAAATGTGATGTAAAGTGAAAAAATATGGTATTTATAGAAAAAAATTTATAACTTTTTTATATTTTTAATTGACTTTTTATAAGTTTTTGTATTTTTTATAATTTTCTAATCATGGCTAACATCAAAGTGATGTCATACCACCCGGTGGCTGGGCCAGTCAATTCGGACCTGGGGGAAAAGTGGGGGCTCCAGGGGAGCCGAGGTTATTGGAATGGGCTGGAGCTGCGTTTTCTTTTTCTTTTTTTTTGGGTAGGGGGATTCCAGAGCTCATCGCCCAGGGGACTTGGCTGGGCTGGAAGTGTTCTAAAAATAAAGGCTTCAATGTTAAAATGGTCTCTGTGTTTTAGTTATTGGGTCAATTTAATTCATGTGTTTTCAATTTGATCAATTTGGTCATTGTGTTTATCTTCATTAGCCAATTAAGGACATTTCCATCTAATTTCTGTAAAATTTTTTATAAATTATTGTAAACTTATTTATAAAATTATTTATTTGATTTAAAATATTTAAAAATGAAATTAAAAGAAAATTTATTCTCCTTCCAATTTCCCGACCTCCTCCCTAACATTACCCTCTCTTTTCTATGTCACAATCTTAATCATTTTTCAGATTGGAAGTTTTATCTCTTATATGTGTTATTTCTTATTAATTTGCATTTTTTTGTAAAGAGAAATGATAATAATATCTCATATAAATTTTCTTATGAATTTTTTAAAAGAGATTGAATGAAATATCCTTAATTGACTAACAGAAACAAACATGATGACTAAATTAACCAAAACAAAAACATGGGGACTAAATTTGCCATGTGGCTACAATACAGGGACCATTTTGACATTTAAGCAAAAATAAATACATATGAAACAGAGGTCCCTTATGTTGAGTGTTTCAAAACCGTATAAAACATGTAAAATTTGTAAATATATTTACAATAGGCAATACTATGTAAATACATGGAATGTAGGAAGGAAATTATAGACCTTTTGTTTTGAATCAAGAAAAACACTAATTCTAAAATACAATTTCAAGAACCCTTACCAGGCAGTAGATCATAAAAAAGAACGCTAATTCTAAAGTACAATTTCAATTTCTCTCTATGTTAAAAAGCATGCAAGCAGAGAGAAAAGGTGTAGTTTCTATTACCTGCAGAATTAGCTTGTAAAGACTTGACCACTGTGTTCTGAATCAATGTCCCTCCATTGTCAGCATCTTTAGAGATTTTCTGTACATAATTCCACTCTAAAAATAAATCCATGTTAAACTTGGAAAGAGTTGCTATTCATAACGCAAACAGAGTTGAAACAGAGACGATCAAGTTCTGTAAGTAATTAAATATATGGAAAAAATCACGTCCAAACCGAAGAAAAATTCTACTTTCTAACAATTGAACTTAATATATGAAACCACCAATTTAGTCGCAAAAGAGCAACCATTAAACAAAACATCAACCGAAAAACCATTAAAACAAAAGGGCTGCTTGATGAAGTTTCTCATACATCATTTTGCTTATCTCTAAGCACAAATATGGAGTATAAGATGAAATAAATAGCATACTCTATAGCTGTACAACTCTGAAGTTAGACATCAACTTACATTTTCTGACAAAAAGAAACTCAATGAATCATAGTTGTATTCCAGCTTCTGAATTTAGACATCATTATGTTTGTCCTATTTTTTGACAAATAGAAAATGCTGATTCAATGAGATAAACATAATGATTATTCTTGATTATGTTGTTAATGATCCCATTACATACTCTCATTTCTTTTTACATTTTACAAACTCTCATTAATTTGTTACTTATACACACTCTAATTTCTTTTTAATCGTTTTATTGAGCAAATAAAAAATGAATCAAATGTTATCTAGTAACAAACTCATTGAATCATTTTCCTACAAGTGATCATTTCTCCTCTACGATGTTATTCAGTAAGAAACTCACTGAATCATGCAATAACAAAATCCTTAATTGTTATTAAACTTGTTTTCATCTCTCTTTGTAATCTCTAGTCACTATTTAAATCTAAGATTGATAAGATGAGATATCATAGTTTTAGATGCGCATTGCTTAGAATAATAATTTTTTAAGGGCAGAGTTGGGATGCGATCCCTAACTATCAATGCTCTTTAACTGAAATCTTGTTGGTTTTCAGCTTTTGATCTAAGTCTTTGACATTAATGAAATAATATATTTATATGTAAGTTATTATATTCTTAAATTGAAAATTGAAATTTGTAGTTATAGTTGTTTATATTTATGAGATTTTAAATAAAACCCATAATTAGTGGAATTAAAAATATTAAAGGATAAATTATACTCTCCAATATATTGTGTATATACACATTCGTAAATAATAGTAAAAAAATTATTGTACCAAAACATGGGTACATTTTCCAAAACCACAAAAAAAGACTTAATAACATTATTAAATTTATTTGATTAAACTTGACGGGGATCATGGATTTAAATATCGAAAATATCGGCGAAATTTTCGTTTTTTTTACTTACCGATATTTTAAGGAGTATCCAATGAGTTTTCGTTAAAATATCGCGATATTATCGCAAATATCGATAATATCGCGATATTTCTCGATATTTTTTATAATATCGCGATATTCGCTAAAATGTCGCGATATTAGTCCAAAAATTCCTTAAAATTTGGAAAAGACTCGGTTTTGAGTATAAAGGGGTTCGAACCCCTCCCCCTTAACTTCTTAAGGCCTTAACCACTGTACCACTTATGTTGTTATGATAATAAGCTACAATATTTATATATATGGTTTATTTTTACAAGAAACAAATTTGCACATATTCCAAATTTTTTGTGGTATTATATTTTAAATTGTGTCAATTAATTACTTAGTCAATGGCAAGTGGTTTTTAATTTTTCTATTTTTTATTTGGTCAAGGGCTGGAAAAAATTCCGGAAAATCCCAAACCAAACCGAAAAAGTCCCAAACCCAAACCGAAAAATCCTAAACCAAAACCATCCTGAAGTTCGGGAATCCCATCCCGAAAAATACCGAAATTTTCGATATGGGATTGGTTTCCAAATCCCATTTGTTTGGTAATCCCGAAAAATACTGAAGTATTCGGTTTCCTATTGACTTTTGGGTTTTGGTTCTTGAAAACCATTGCCATAGTTGGTAACTACTCTTCAAAATACACTCACTCTACACATAGAGATGATGAAGATAGTGAAAATTTTGAACCTCATAGGAACTCTATGTGGTACTAAGTCACTCATGTATCTTACCATGCAATGTATAAAGTGTAAAATATTGTACTAATTCATTATATATAATGATTATGGTGTGTTTAGACTTCTTTCATTAATTTCTACATATTTTCTATAGTCACAATGTTTGTCAGCTCGCTATATAATCAACTTGATAATGTTAAATCCATCATGCAATGCATTTCCTTCCAATTTTTTGTGATAAACTAATAGATAATTGACTAAATAAACATCCTGCAAAGTTTCAATAAAAATTTCCAAGTTTTTCTTACAATTTCCGTGGTTTCCATGTAATTTTTATCGATATCGATATTATCCCGATATTTCCATCGATATTTCCATGTTTTCGGACTACCGATATTTCCGATATTACCGATATTTTCTTCCTTGACGGGGATACATTCTTAGATCAACGAAATAGAATGTACCCATATAAGTTTAAAATATAGATTAGAAAAAAATGGAATGGATCTTATATAAAAAGAAATGGGTACATGTTATACTAAAAAAAAAGTATTGTTTACATTTAGGATTAAAAAATTGAAAAGTTATATGAATGGTTACATTTAAGATTAAAAATTGAAAATATTTCTAAACAAAAAAATTTAATGGGTGCAAACTAAATCTTTTTTTTTTTTTTTTGGAAATATTTTGAATTGAAAATTAATTAGGAGTGTAATAAGGGTGTGAATATTAAAACCTTAAAACAATTACTAATTTTATTTCAAAAAATTATATAACTGACATCTAAATTCATCAATACATTAATGGTAGGGACTTTAATCAAAATCTGAAAACTAATAACGTCTTAATCAATAAGCATTAGTAACTAGGGAGGACCAAATACTAATTTTCCAATCCCCTCCAGATCCATTATGTGGGGATCCTGGGATCCCCACATCTCAGCCGTTCATCGTCTATCGTGCAGTCAATTTTCGTCAGGTATTATTTATGTTTAATTTAAAATAATAAAAGTCAAATGATTTCTGACATCACGATACACGATGAATGACTGAGATGTGAGGCTTTCTAGGATCCCCACATAATGGATCCGGAGGGGAGCCGTTTCCATTTTCCACAACCACTGTTATTAGAGTACTTTACAAATTGATTATTTTTCTTCCTAATTAGCAGGTGGATTAACTTAAATGATTATTTAAAGCTTTTGGATCTTGTATTGCTTAGGGCCTATTTGGGAGGTGATTCTAGGTTTAAAAGTGGGAGGTGCTTTATTCAGAAGTGATTCTAAACCGCGCAAGAGCGGTCCCAAAAGGACTTAATTATTCTATTAGTTTATTTCATTAAGAAATGGGAACTTTCATGAAAAATGCTTGGACTAAATAAAGCCTAGTTATTGGGTCCAGTTTTATAAATAATGTATAGTAATTAGTATAATTTCATAAATAGTGTCTCTTTCTTGGTCCAGTTTCATAAATAGTGCCTAGTTATTGATCCACTTTCATAAATAATGCCTAGTTCTTGATCTTGTTTCATAAATATTGTCTAATTCTTAGTCCAGTTTCGTAAATATTGTATAGTCCAGTTTCATAAATAATTTTCATCTATTGGTTTAGTTTTAGAAATATTGTCTAATTCTTGTTTTCGTTCATAAATAGTGTATACTTATTGGTTCAATTTCATATATAGTGTATGCTAATTGATTTAGTTTCATAAATAGTGTCTACTTATTGGTCAACTTTTATAAATAGTGTTTACTTCTTGGTTCAGTTTCATAAGGTTTGAAACTTAAGACTCTTTTTGGTCCTGTAAAAGCACTCATTGCGCCCAAAACGATGAACCCAGAAGTGATCCATTAGATCAAAACCTTGAGAAGATTATGTTCTCGATAATTATATTTAAAAAGTTGTTTTCAATTACTAAATTAAAATTTCCTCACATTTTTTTACATACCTACAAAAATAAATGCAGCTCTCCATCCAATTTTTGGAGCTTGAGTGTCATCTTGAAGAAACTTTACCTTGTGCCCATAACACAAGTGGCACACCACGTGTTATTATGTAAGTAGCGAAAAATTTTATTTTTTGTGTAATTAATTTTTTACACAAGAATCTCACAACTTGTATAGATACACGTGGTGTACCATCCCGTGCTCCGAGCACATTGAAAAATTTCTCATTATCTTGACTATTATTAGAAAAAAAAACACCAGAAATATAAAAATGGGGAATGTAATTCAGTTTGAACTCTTTTTCTTATTCTAAGCAAAAATAAAATAAATAAAAAATCTATTAATGTATCAGACAATCGGGAAAAAAGTGGAGTGTGGAAGGGGGGTTGGGGGACGCGCCCAGCGCAAGTTCGGTTTTTTATGTTTTTTTTTAATTCTTTTGTCCTTGTCATTAAATAAAATTAATGGATGATTTTTTATTAAAATGTAAAAATTTGATGCCCTTTTCATTAGTTTTTTTTTAAGAAATATCAACTCAAGTAGAATTATTGCCATTTTTCCGACCCAAGGAAAAGAAGACTTCAATTATTAGGTTATGTGAATCAACTGATAGAGCCAAGCAAAGATCGCCACCTACCTATTTCAAAGCTAAAATTTCAAGAGGAAATCTACATTAATGATTTGGTGAGATGAATCAAATGTGAGAACCAATAAGAGAGCACCAAAAGATAAACCTCGGTACTCGAGCAACAAAATCACAAACCAAGGACTGCAACGATTATGAAGTACTCAGTTATATTTCAGGAAAAAGACTACAAAACCTACTCCAAGCCTACAATGTTATATCATCAATGATTACAGATACGAATCAGAATAAGCATCATAATCCAAAAAACATGGTTTTATCACGCAAAGAGAAGAAGGATATCAGCCGAAGATTTTCTGTACTTAATTATCAAACCACTGCATACTTTGATTGTGTGGGAATAGTTTTATGCCAATAGAAGCAATATGGCTTCGCCCAACCCAACAAAAGGGTTTTCTTTATTTGGTGAAAAAAAATTTCACATGCAACATTCATTTACCTGTAATTGAAGAATACGAAGCGCTGGAAACTGGAATTCTTCCACAAAAAATCAAAACAAACTCCCCTGCAAAGGAACCATACTTAATTTCAGCAAACTTATCTAAGATTTAAAAATAATTTTAAATCTCATACTAAACAAGTTTTTGAATCTTAAAAGAAAATTGTTTTTAAGAGAGATTCTTAAAAAAATGTTTTGAGAAATAATGATTTTTTTTTAATATGATACCAAACAAGCCCCTAAAAGCCTTTGGAGCCTGAAAACAAAAGTTTCAAAATCAGAAAAACCAATGAAACCAAACCCAATTTAAAACAAACTTTTCAAGTATTTGAATATTATTTATGGATGAAAATCATTTTTCCATTTTGTATTTGTATTAATTCTATGATGCATGCAATTAGTGAAAAACAAAAGCAAATTCAACACATTTAGAATTCAGGAATCTTGAGTACCTAAAAAACCTCATACCTGACCCACAACCACTACTTTATTTTTGTAACAAAGCCCTCAACCATTAACTCAGAAAAGACTGCATGCTATCTAGAAAAAACAAAAACAAAAAGAAGCACCAAATCGGTAGGAGAACTCACCATGAAACCGAACTTTTTCTGGGCTTAAAGCTTTCTTCGAATCGGGACCGGATTGTGTTGTGGTTAACAGGTTTTGAGAGAGATTGTGCTGGGGTTCGTGATCTTTTTAGAGAGAGAATTTTTTGGTTCGTGGTTTGTGAGAAAGAGAACTGGGGAGATTCTGGACCCAAATGGAACAAACAGGTATCTTCTTAGAGGTGGTGGCACCCCCAGCCAACAAATAGTAAGGGGAAATTTGTAAATCCACTGTTTAACATTGAAAAGCAAAGCAGGAATGGGAAGAAAAACGAAAGGTATTTTCGTGAAATCACTGTTGGTAAACAGTGCCCATCAACTGAAGTTTTCGTATAGGTATAATGATACAATACTAAGCGTAGTGCATTGTATACAGTGCCGTATTATGGCGGCTGGAAGCTGATTGGAAATTTCACAAGGCATGGTGGAGCCTTCAGTCAAAAGATGAGTGCTTCATGAGATTTCATGCTAAATTATGATTAATTATGGATTAATTTGATTTTAGTTTTTGAATTTATGTTGTTTGTTGATTATTTGGTGATTTGCTGTAGTTTAGAAGGAAGTGTAACATATGATGATGGCGTGTGTTTGCTGGCTTAATTAATGATGTTTTTGTTTGTTTTACTAAACAAGGTAAAACGTGAACTACGAACGACTTGATTCCATCTTCGGGTATATAGAGAGTCTAACACAAAAATTAAATACAACAATGAAATAAAAAAAAATTACTGAGTTGCTGAACCATTTATTTGCGTTTTCGATCATGTCTCGGAAGCAAGGGCATCGTAGATATACAAATATTGATAACGTTATACGTCGATCCTACACATATCTTAGAAGCAAAACGTGACAAAATACCTTCACCAAGAAGGCATCTCCTACCAACACGAACTAGTGGTAGCCACGTAAGGTGGTCCACGAAGGACACGCATTGTGGAAAAGGAATCCAATAATGCTGCAACACGACAAACCAAAAGATAAGGGAATAAGCTTTATTCACATGTTTTTTTTTTTTTTTTTTTTGGAGCAAGCTTTATTCACATGCTTTGTCTGCAATAATAGAGTCGATAGAAATATCGTCTCTATCTCCTATGCTGCAAGCTTTATTGACGCATTGCCAGATGTCATCAATCTCGTCTGCTGTTTCTTCATCACAAGCTAAGATTGGTCTGTAGATGAGATGAGTCTTCTGAGAAAAGTGAGAGCTGAAAAAATTTGGTAGTGTCTGGCCATTGCAACCATGGTGAAGCTATTGAAATGTTCCATCGACCATATCAATAAAAAAATAAGAATTTAAATATCTTAATCTCACTTCAACTATTATCGAGGCTTTTTGTAATAAAATTTCACACTTAACGGATTGTACATGTGATAATTACCAAGTTGAGGATAGTATCGATGTTGTTAGAAGTGAGCCGTAGCCCGTCTCTATGATAATTCTACAGAAGCCATTATTGTGACCGTCAGATTCTTCTAAAAATTCATCCAGAGAATAAGCTTTGTAATTCTGAACGTCTCCTTAACTTTAAAGCCTCTGTCTGGCTAATCCAACTGCTGAAAATGTATTAGGAGCATAGTGACCCCTAATATATACCTTATTATATCCTGCTAAATATTCTGTTCTGAACATCCTCTTGGTCTGCTCGAACACTCTTCTATCGTGTTCTAACTCTCTGACTTTGTGTGGAATACTGCTAATTAAAATCCGAGTCTGTCTTCCTCGCTGCCGGTAGAGGGAAACAGATCTTTTGAAAACTTGTGGAAAGACTTCTGAATCTTCATCTACTGGAGGATTATAGATTTCTTCTGTAAGACCATAATCGAATAATAATCCAAGCGTAATGAGTGGATAGCTAGGATTATCACCAATTCTGAAATTCTGAAACTCTTCTCCATTGATTCGAGAATCTGGAAAACTTGAATGTAGAAAAGGAAACCAACTTCTTCCTCTCTTTCGAGAATCTGGAATTGGATTTCTGCTGGAAGCTTTTCAAAATTTCTTCTAACATATGGATTTCCAAATTCAATCTCATTAACTTTCTTTGATCTTTCATAATCTAATTCTACATCTAAACACTCGATCTCTACGCTCATCTGAGTGTTTAACTCTCTTAGTTGTCTTTTTATTTTCTCTAATTCCTCCCTTAAACTGTTTTCACTCAGGATACAGATTTTCTCTGCCATGAATTCTGCAAAAGCTATACTTGCTGCATCTCTAGTGTGAAATCCTTTGTAAACACTATTTGGAAATTCTGAAATTTCTGCACAAACTTTTTCCCAAGAATCATAAATTCCAGGGTTTCTTCATTTGAAAACACAATAAAAAGCATAATTTTCATTTTCTCTGAAAGACTTTGCGGGCGTAAGCCAGCATTCTGAAAATGATTGCTTCTAATTTTTAAATTCATTTGATGTAAAACAAAGCAAAGACACCTCAAAGTGTGGAGGAGTCCGGCTTGATGTCTGTTCTCTAAAAACTTGGTATAATAATGGACTGAATCCATTATACACCACCGGAAAACATCTATAATGAAGTTTTGGGGAACTCTATACTTGTAAAACTGATTTTCCACTGAAGGAAGTGAAAGATCTTCCGAAAAAGCTACTCTTTTTGGCTTGGTTTTATCTGAAATTTTTGGAAAACTCGGCAAGCCAACTGGCTGTTTTTCTGGAAAACTCTGAGCTGAGTGAGCTCCTGAAGAACTGCTGCTTGATGATGCCATTGGTCTGAAAAAATATCAAAGGATCTTGAAAGTAAATCTGGAACAATGTTATTACTACCTTTTATATGTTCGAATTTTACTTCTACTCATCTATTGGCTATTGCATCTTGAAATAAAGCTCATCTTCTACTCTTTAGCTTGTTTTTGCATATAAACTAGAATTTTACTTCTTTTTGCTAATAATTATGCCATTATCTAAGAAAGCTTGAAAAATTCTTGACAGATGATCATCGTGTTCATCCCTTGTCCTGCTAAAAATTAGAATATCATCAATATAAACAATACAAAAATCTGAATAAGGTTTCTGGTTAAAAATTAAGTCCATTTTTCTCTGAAAAATACTAGGTGCATTCTTTAATCCAAAAGGTAAGACATTCCACTGGAAATGTCTTTCGCTACAACTAAATGCTGTCCATGGACTACTACTTTCTTCTAACTTAATCTGCCAGAATCCACTTTTACAATCGAATTTACTAAAAACTCTTTTATCTTGAATCCTACGGATTAAAAGATCTTTTGTGGGGATCTTATAACCATCTGAGAATGTATAATCATCTAATCTTTTATAATTTATTATCATCCTAGCTTGTCCTCTAACTTGCACTGCTCTATTTCTGACCATAGTAATTCTTTGATCTATTTCTGAAAATCTTCTTTTATCTGGGTTATCATAGGCTATTTCTTTAGTTTTAATGATTAAATCTGGGTTAATAATATTTATCTTTCCTAAAAACTTATTTCCATCCCAATACTTCATGGGATCTTCTCCTAAGACTTGAGTTTCTTCTGCTATTCTTACTAGATTATCTAGGTCTGTTTTATCAAATTTAACTTTCTGGAGTTTAAAACTGAATTCTAAGTTTTGTTTAAATTCTTTTAGATTTTCAAAGGGATCTATTAAAACATCTTGCTCTAATGATTCTGCTAAAATCTGACTTACTATATGTCCACCACGGCTCGCTTGTGCAAAGTCTGATGTATGCAGTGGAACTAAACTATTGTTTTTGTTAAAGAAAATGATTTTTGTATTAACACCTCATATATTATTGAATACACCCCACATAAAAATTTATTGTTAAGTGTCTTACATATCTAATATAAAATGACTATTTAGACCCTAATAAAATTTTAAAAAGAAAATTATTTTCTAAATATACCTCAAGTTAATTTCGGCGAGATTGTCTTCCTTCAAGCTCTCAAAGTCACTCACATTCTTCATTGTAGAGCATAACTCTACCCACTAAAAACACAAAACGTTGATGGAAAAGGATTAGTTTTCATCCTCGTTCTACAGATCTTCAATTTGCTTGATTTTTAATAAGAGAAATTTTGGAATTGGAGAAAGGAAAAGGAACTGATCAGTTTAAAGCCATAAATACTTTTTTTTTTTTTTGAACTTTGCAGGTATGCAATCTAGAATAACAAACTGATATAAAAAAAATGCAATGTGTTCACGTATTTGACTTTGACCATGATAGAAAACCAAGTAGTTCTGCATATGAATTCATATATATCGGATAGAGAAGGAACAATACAATCTTATATGCAATCAAATTATCAAAGAATACATCGGCATTAGACTACAAAGGATTTTTAGAATCTCTTGCTATTGTACTTTTCTTTTACGTTTTATCAAAGGATTTTTAGAAATAAAAATTCATAGAATAAGAACGTTCGAAAAATCCACAAATAAGCAAGGAAACGAAAAACCTTAGATGCGAGAGTCTTCTATGAGCGTGTGACTCAACTCTCAATGAAAGCATCAATTTGTGGATGCAAATTTCTTCTTCCTTACTCTTGGACAAAATTGCACCTACAAAACAAATAACACCTTAGGTCAAGGCCAAAAACCTCACGCGCTCATGATGATTTGGGGGGGGCTTTGGCCGAAGAACCTTCGATGCCAAAGTTAGAATTTTGAGGGAAAAGTGTTTAGAGAATTTAGAGAATTTAGAGAGTTTAGCAAGAGAATTGGAATTGAGTTTTGGAGAGAATGAAGGTGTTTATATAGGGGTGTGGCCGGCCACCTTGGGAGGAGATGGACCGGCCACTTGGATGGATTTGTGGGTGAAGTTCATGGTTTGTGTTTAATTAGCAAATTAACTTAATAATTAATCAATTAATTAGCTAATTAATATAATAAAAAATGAATGATTTATGGGTTACATTGTGGAGAAGATATGATGAGGGATGTTATAAATAAATACCTATTTGGGCACTTTTAACTTTATTGAGGGATGATTGTCCACTGCTCGTGCGTAGGAATTCCGGTGTGCCTCGAAGGTAATTTTGTCCATTTTATCCTAGAATCCACGTGTCACCTCTATATTATTCTTGATTATTTTTGGCTCCACAAAAACGCATTACAAATTTGCAACACATGATAACCACTCGTTCTTATAAAGTAAAAATATTTACCTAATTTTTGGGTGCGTTTTGGATTCCGCTTGTCAATAATTTAAGAGTAATGTTATTCATACCATATTTTCATACCACTCTAGGTGGCATTTGATGTGAACAACCACATCATTTGAATTAATTAGATTTTTAAATTTAGTTCATTATTTAATAAACTAATAATTAATAAAATTTAGTTAATTAAATGATAGATTGTGGTATACGAGAAGTCTTTCTCCTTTCTTTCTTTGGGTTTTGCAAAATTTTCAAATGATGTAGCTGTCCACATCAGATGTCACCTAAGATGGTATGAAAATGTGGTACAAAAACCTGGTATGAATAGCCTAACACTATGTTTGGATGAAGAAATTTAAGATTACTAAGGAATTTTAAAATGACGAAAATTGAAATGACGGGATTTTATTTTCTAGATTTTGTGATTTTTCTTTTTTGGTTAACCTAAAAGAACAATGAAATTGAGAATGGAATTTGTTAATTTTAAACTCTCAATCATAGAAATTGGTAAATGACACTTATTTACATGGAATTTAAACTTGGGAATTGGAGGCCCCAAATTCCAAGTTTTTTTTTCACGCGGAAATTCTAAATTTCTATGTTTATAAATCCAAATAAAGGAATTGGTGCATGTCAATTTATAAATTCTGATTTTTATCCAAATTCCAAGTTTATTTCCTTATTCGAAACATAGTATTACTCATAATTTAATTCTAGTGGTGGTGGTCGGCCCTTTAATGCTGCGGGCCCAGTCCAGCATCATTGGCAACATCCCCATCAACAAAAACTGGAGCAGCCCTTTGTTCCTGTTCGGCCCAATTTTCGGCCCAATTTTAGGCCCTCCTTGGCGCTATAACTGCAATACGTTCCAGCATATCCAGACCTGCCCGCACAGGTACTGTGGGCCTGATCAGGCCGCACCCTTTGCCGCAACCCAGTTTGAACAGAAGCCTGATCCACTTTGGCATCCCGACACTGGTGCTACCCATCACATGACGAGTCAATCGTCTTTGGTTGCTCATATGGAGCCCTATGCGGGTCCTTCTCCTTCTAATGTTTATTCGGGTAGGCAATATGTACATTACCCACATCGGCACCCCTCCTCCTTCGCTTGATTCCTTTAATTTTCATCTTCGCATTGTCTTTTTTCTTCCCGACCTTTGTAATTTTTTTTGTTGCTCGTTTCAATTTTACTTCTGGAGCAGTTGATTCAACTACATTTGCTTTCTGGGATGTGTTTGGTTTCCGAGAAAATGTAGAACGTTGGGGGGATAATTGAGTATTAGCCATTTACATTTGAGTATCTATGACTGTTTTGCTGGAAGAAAATAAAGAAAATGAATTTCTGGGTTTTTAGTTAATTGTGTTTTGATTTACATTGTAAAATGCTAATTTCGGTTCGATTAGCCGAACAATGAGAGTGGTGATCATTATATGATTATAATCTGCCCAAATTTTAGAATTAAAAATTTTGATTCTGTCAGGCAATGTCTGTTTGTAAGGAACTGAATTGGTTATACTAATGCGAGTTTTGATTTGTACGATTGATTTTACTGCAGCCGACGAATCAGAGAAGTTTGTAGAAGCCTCGAAGAAGGGGAATTTAATTCCTCTGTCTCGGAGCATATTCTCGGATCATCTAACTCCTGTTCTCGCTTACCGGTGTCTGGTTAAGGAGGATGATAGAGATGCTCCAAGTTTTCTGTTTGAGTCAGTTGAGCCGGGTTCCAACGACTCCAATGTTGTAAGCGTCCTCAGCCCCTTGTATCATTTGTATTTGTTTGCATCTGACTGTAGACCATAATTGATCACTTACAAATTTTTGGTGTCAATCATTTGTTAGGGCCGGCACAGTGTTATTGGTGCCCAACCATCCATTGAAATCGTGGCTAAGGAGAACATGGTTACCATTATGGACCACAAAGAAGGTTGTAGGACAGAGGAGTTTGTGGAGGATCCAATGACTGTTCCTCGGAGAATCATGGAGGGATGGACACCCCAACTTCTTGATGAACTTCCAGAAGCATTTTGTGGTATGATAAGTACACAAATAACACGCTTTAGTAGTACTCATATCTTAATCCTCTCAGTTCAAAGTAAACCAGTTCTCCTTAAATGTGGTTCGTTAACAAAACTTAGATTTGTAAAGTTGTGGTGAAGTTATTTATAAAAATGAAGACCATGCTTTGCTTATTTTTCCCTTCTTAGTCTCAAAGTTTTGGACTAGGCAAGTAGAACTGTGGGTTATCAGTGTGCTCATATTTTCCTGTACATTTTGTTAGGTTGTAGATGTACTGTGTTGACACTAGTGTTATGTATTGCGTGATATTCTGGGCTTTCGCAAAAGACTTCTTTGGCACAAAATTGCCATAAATTTATCCTTGTATTATTGCATTATTCAATCTTAAAAATGGAGGTTCTCGAAGTCACAAGTTGGTGGTTAACAACATCCACTCTCTTTATCAGGCGGCTGGGTTGGTTACTTCTCTTATGATACAGTACGTTTTGAATGATGAAAAGCAATGTGCAGAGCATATTATGCTTGTAGACTTGGGGAGGAATGATGTCGGGAAGGTTTATCAGGCGAATATCAGGCGAAATATCGCCGATAATATCGATTTTTCGGGGAATGGATATTTAAATAGGTATCCGTGTGGTTTTCGTCCAAATATCGCTATATTATCGATAATATCGATAATATCGCGATATTTTGGAAATATCGAGATATTTTGTTGAACGGTGCAATCGGCCTCCGATATCGAACGCCGGAGAAGAACGCCGGAGATGGTGTGCCTATTCCTGAGCCCATTTCGTCCCAAAAACCTGGCAAAAACACGATTTTTAACTTCAATTTCACATATAAGCTTCAAATTTCACGCATGCATCAACGATTCAACATATGTGATGTCGGTTTAGGACTTAGGTTTTCAATGGAATCTCACCTGAAAAATCGATGACTGGGCCAACTCCTTGCTCAGCGGCGCACCACCAGAGACGACTAAGCCAAGTCCGACTTCGCCAGAGCCACGATCAACGGCAGCGAAGGATCGAGAGAGTGGGCGAAGAATCGAGAGAGTGGGAGAAGGGGGAGATCTGTGTGTGTGTGGGTCGAATGGAGAAGGGGGAGAAGAGAGGTCAGGCCTCAGAGAATAAGAGAGAAGGATCGAGGGCCTCAGAGAAGAAGAGAGAAGGATCGAGAAGGGGGAGATCTGTGAAGATGAGGGAGGAGGAGGAGACGGTGCGGGGAGAGAGAGAGGAACAGAGATCTGTGAAGATGAGGGAGGAGGAGGGGACAGTGCGGGGAGAGAGAGAGAGAGAAAACCTTGGTGGTGGGACGGGAGACTTAAAAAAAACAAAACCATTGGCTTTGATGGTTTTAGTCTAAAACTTTTAGACAAGTGACGTGAAAGAGGTGCATGGTTTTAACTTTTAATAATGAAGGCCATCCATTTATATTTTTAAAAGTTTAGGATATATTTTATATATATATATATATATATATATATGTTATATAAATTATAAATTATTTAGATAATATTTTGTTTTTTTTAACTAAGCAAGCAGATTATATTTGAACCCTTCCTTTGTCAACCACGTACCTGGGCTTTATCCAACTTGTTACAGATGTGTTTGTGATTACATATTCAGCCTTATATGGTCATTAAGATGTCTGCAAGGTTTGCAAGCTAATATTTATTATCTAAGATAAATTTCTATATTTTAAAAAACACCAAGGTGAAAATTTTGAACCTCATTAGAACTCTATGTGGTACTAAGTCACTCATGTATCTTTCCATGCAATGTATAAAGTGTAAAATATTGTACTAATTCATTATATATAATGATTATGGTGTGTTTAAACTTCTTTCATTAATTACTACATATTTTCTACACTCACAATGTTTGCCAGCTCGCTATATAATCAACTTGATAATGTTAAATCCATCATGCAATGCATTTCCTTCCAATTTTTTGTGATAAATTAATAGATAATTGACTAAATAAACATCCTGCAAAGTTTCAATAAAAATTTCCAAGTTTTTCTTACAATTTCCGTGGTTTCCATGTAATTTTTATCGATATCGATATTATACCGATATTTCCATCGATATTTCCGTGTTTTCGGACTACCGATATTTCCGATATTACCGATATTTAAATCCTTGGGTACGACCTTTTTATTCTTGTTTTATTTCTTAACCTGTAAAGCGGGAGCCTTGTGCACTGGGTACGACCTTTATTCTTGTTTTATTTCTTAACAGTTAGCTAAATTGATCCTAGACTAATTAACCTGTATAATCCTGCGAGTAAAAGCCTTGAGGATTAACCTAATCAGTTAGGAATCGGCTTATTACACCACTAATGGTTGATATATGGAACACGATGTTGTGTATGGACTCGCTTAGGATTTTCGAGTTTCCTCATTTACTGCAATGCAGGTGAAAGCCATGGAGCTGATCGATAAGCTAGAAGTGACTAGACGTGGTCCATACAGTGGTGGCTTTGGGGAATTTCGTTTTCTGGCAACATGGACATCGCCCTCGCTCTGAGAACTATTGTTTTCCCAACTAGCTTTCGGTATGATACAATGTATTCATACAAGGATGCAAACAAGCAAAGAGAGTGGGTCGCTCATCTCCAAGCCGGGGCAGGAATTGTCGCTGACAGTGATCCAGCTGATGAGCAGAGGGAGTGCAAGAACAAGGCTGCTGCACTTGCACGCGCTATTGATCTTGCAGAGTCCCCATTCGTTGATAATTGAATATGTTTTTGCTTGCATACAGAATCTGGTTTGCAATATATTTCGAGTTTTTCTTAGCAATTCCAGTTTTAGTCGTGAGTTGAGGTTAGGAACTGTAAATTAAATCAGATGATGGGAATGTACGTAGCGTTTTAACCAAACCAAAACTAAAAGTAATGGCATACACAAGCAAATTTTGAAACCCTAGTTCATCATTGCTGCTTTTTCCCTTCAAACTTTTCATGAACAGCGCAGTCATGTTGAAACCCCTTCACAGCTGCATCCTTAGTTGCCATGACAATTTCCGCAGGACCTCTGTTCTTAAAGAGCATTTCTTCAACCTCGCCAAACCTGGAGAAGAAAGCTCTCAACCTCCTCTCCGTATAATCTTCACCATCCTCGTCCCAAGAAACTATAAGCACTTTTACATTAAAAAGTTTACAAAACAATCAATTGATTAGACAATGATTAATAGATAATATCATCTTGCAATACTAATTAAATAAGTCGAATTTAGTCCGGTTGAGATTGATTAGTAAACAGAGGGTTTTTGATACTCTAGTCTTACAACATTCATGCATGATCATTGATTCACAGTTCCACAGAAACGAAATTCATCATCCATATTTTACAAACCAAGCGTTTGAATTCAAATTCCACAAAGTACCAAAATCTACCTCTCAATAGACATGATTTGGAAAAAAAAAACTTGAAAAAGGAGATTTGGAAACTAGAGGTCGTAATTTCGTAAACTTGTTGAAGCTCCTTTTTCCCCGAGGACTAGTTCGATACAACAAACTGTCGTATAATGAAACCACCATAAGACACAGTAAGAAAAGAGGGAGAGTAGAACCAACACTGAAACAATTCCACTCCATTTAACCCATCAGTTTCAAGCCTTCTGAGAGATGGTAGCTGTCCAATGCTGCCATTGAAAAACAATATTCACAATCCATAAGTCGAAGAGTAACAAGATGAGAGAACGAACGAGTCATCTCCTAACAGATTTGGAATTTTTGTAGCTCCGTATCTTTCTATCACAAATACTTTCAAGTTTATATGGGACAGGAGTATCTGCAAAATTTGTTTGTTATTACGTGAATATTAACATTTGAAACATATTTATGATTTAAAATTTACACAGCCAGATCGTAAATAAACACAAACGAACGTTGACGAATTACTTACCATTGCAAATCATATCTTTCGGTCATTAATCCTTACGTTGGGGATGTGAGAAATCTTGGGCCAATCTTCTCCTGTGTCTCTCTGACACCGTTGTGTTAGCAAATCAGACCCGGTGATATGTAGAAAAGAAAGAGAAGTGGGTAGCCCTTCATCTGGCAAGCTCTGGAGTTGAGGACAATAAAAAATATACAACTCCTCGAGAGAGATGATGTGTCTTAAGGCCTTGCCGTCAATGGTTTTCAGATTCGGATGATGGGAGATTCCGAGAGAAGTGAGAGTGATTGGCAGCAGCCCCTCTTCTGGAAATGATTCGACAATTTCTTCTTCTTCACATCCTGAGAAGCTGACATCCAAGAATTTGAGAGAGGTGAGTGTTTGTAGACCCCACCGCATACGGTTTGCCATCAGTTTTTTACAACACCAGATAATGAGGTAACGCAATTTGGACGGCAATCCCCCTTCCGGAAATGATTCCAATTCTGGAGAATCCCATATATACAAAGACGAGAGAGACGGGAGAGAGATTTGCATCTCCTCTGGCAGTGACCTGAATTTGTTACATTCGTTGATTTGCATCATCTTCAAGTTGGGCGCTTGCAGTCCTCCTCCATGGGGGAAACCCACAAATTCTTTACACCCTTCTATGGACAGACACTGAAGGGACGGGAGAGAAGCGTGCATCTCCTCTGGCAGTGACCTGAATTTGTTACATTCTTTGATTTGCATCGTCTTCAAGTTGGGCGCTTGCAGTCCTCCCCCATGGGGGAAACCAACAAATTCTGGGCACTCCTTTATCTTCAAATTTTTTAGGGATGGGAATTTAGATTCTTCCGGAAATGATTTAAATTCTTTACACCCTTCTATGGACAGAGACTGAAGAGATGGGAGCGAGATTTGCAGATCTTCTGGCACTGACCACAAGTTGGGCGCAAGCAACACTCCACCACCCACAAAATATACGATTTTAACGTTCTGCAAACTTAGCCGCTCAAGTCTTGGGAAGTAGTCTAACGGTATTTTCCCCGTTAGTTTGGGACAATTCCCCAGACTAAGCTCGCAAAGATTAGAAAATGTCCGCCTCCAGGGAAACACCACTCTTGCCATTCCCGCATACTGCAGAAACTCAGAAACTCCAGAGATTTAAATGCAGGTTTAATTCCCCCATAAAACTCAGACCCCACTGATTCCACTCCATTCAACCCATCAATTTCAAGCCTTTTGAGAGACGGTAGCTGCCCCAATGCTGGCAGGGAGAAACAATATCCACAAGTCTCAAGTCGGAGAGTGACAAGATTAGAGAAAGACTCATCTCCCAACCAACCTGGAAACTTCGTACCTCCGTATCCTTGTATAGCCAATACTTTTAGGTTTGTATTGGGTTGCAAGTTGCCTAGCACTCGGCTATCGTTTTCAGAATCAATAGTGTCACCTTCCCATTTCAAACGTATTTCACTGAGCTTCTTGTCCCTCAGTTTGGCCTCCAAAGCATCCTCAGCACGTGTGATATTTTGAAGCCCTGAAATATGAAGATTTCCACTCAAATGCTGAAACCCCTTTAACTCATCAATGTTTCCCCCGACATCTTTGCTCAAGACAAACTCACCTCCCAAATGTTTGGAGATCTTTCAACTTGCCCATGTGGGGGGGGCATCTTTCTTATTTTCGTACGTCTCAAATCAAGATGGCGCAAGTTGATAAGTCTTCTCAAATTGGTGGGCAACTCAGCTAGACATGTACAATTTGATAGCAACAACGTTTGTAAATTATACAAACTGCATACCGTGTCTGGTAATTTCCTTATTGGACTGCCACACAAGTTGAGGTACCGTAGATGCTTCAAGTTGCTAATTGAATCAGGCAACTCCCTGATATAATGCCCATGTAGTTTGAGAACTCTTAAAACACTGTAGCACTACAAGGAGATCAAATCGTACTGTTGGCAATGAATAGAGATCGCCAAGAATGAAGGTGCGCAGATACTTAGCTTCATAAATAGTGTCACATCTCTCAAAATCAACATTAGATGAATATTGCATATAAGAAAAATGACGACCCTTGCTCACAACGTCCAATGAGAAGTCATGGTCTTCCAATCTAATGCAAAATTCCCCACATACGCAAGTCGCCAAATCATGCATCAGATCATGCATGATGAAACAATCATTTGAAGGTGAGTATTGAAAAAAAATGACCGTGAGATTAGATCATCAAAGTATTTCTTTCCAACATCTTCCAACCTAGTCTTCTTTTGGGGTTGTAAAAGATCTTCGGCCATCCACAATAAAATTAATTCAAACTTGTCAAATTCATAATCTTTGGGAAATATTGAACAATAAGCGAAACAACGCTTCAGCACCGGAGACAAGTACTGGTAACTTAGCCATAGTGCCGGCAGAATTTCAATCTTTGCATCTGACAACTCCCATATGTCACTTTTTAGCACATTTTCCCATTCCTCCACATTTGGTTCAGAGCGTAAGAGACCACCGAGAGATTTTGCAGCTAAAGGAAGGCCTTTACACTTGCTAACAATTTGTCTTCCAATTACCTCAAGATTTGGATCTACAATAACACTTGCATCTTTTAAGGCATGCTTTGCAAATAAAAGCCAACAGTCTTCCTCAAGTAAGTGCTTTTTAAATAGTGGGTTTGAAGAGTACCCATCGTAGATGCAACACCATCATTCCGTGCGGTGACAATGATCTTACTTCCATGAGCTCCAGACTCTAAGGGGCGTTTTAAGGAATCCCAAATATTGTAATTCTCGTTCCAAACATCATCAAGAACAAAAAGAAACTTCTTCCCCACCAAAGCATCTTTGAGTTTGACCTGAAGCTGGTTTAGGTCTGTGGTGTCACAGGTTCGTGAAGTGACTGATGCATAAATTGTTTGTGTGATCTTAACAACGTCAAATTCATCAGAAACACAAACCCATGCCTGGAGCTCAAAATGCTGCTTCACTCTATCATCATTGTTATAAGAGCTGAGCAAGGGTGGTCTTTCCGATCCCCACCCATGCCCACAATGGGAATAATGCCAATCTTACTACAAGAGACATCATTTGATAGCAACAATTGAATGATGGTTTCCTTGTCATGATCTCTTCCATACACATCAGAGCATTCTACTAAAGAAGTTGAAAGCAATGTTTGTGAGATTTTGTGTCTACTACCTCTTTTCAAATCAAGGGCATCTTTCTGTTCTACAATGAAGCTTAGCCTCTCAAGAATTTCCTCTATTTTGCTGTCTACAGACTCATCAAAAGCATGCAAAGAAGTAGAGATGAGGTCTTGTACCTTGCTTGTGCTACTTCCAAATTCAGCTTCAATTTTCCGCCTCAACGCTTCTGTCTTGATCTCGTCCAGTAGGTCCTCAGCATCAAGGACTGCCTCTTTAAGCTCGTGCAGCCACAGCCTCACATGTGGGTTACGTAATTGCTTTTGCTCGGCATCATCATAAACAGCACCAACAGACATCAACTTGATCCTCAACTTCTTGAGCAACCTATCAGTCAGTTTCTTTCCTCTGATGAAGTTTCTGACCTCCTGAGAATCCAACTTCACAAATACTTGCTGGAAGAAACCCGAGAGAGCGGCTCCACCTACCACCGCCAACGCCATGATCAATCTTTTCTTTGCAAATGGAAATTTGGTGACAGAGTTGAGAGAATGTATAAGACCATTACAAATCTACAACACATGAGAACCACTCGTTCTCAAATCTTTACCTAATTTTTTGGTGCTTTATGGATTTCACTTATCAATAATTTAATTCTAGTGGTGGTGGTCGGCCCTTTGATGCTGCATGCCCAGTCCAGCATCATTAGCAACATCCCCATCAACAAAAACTGGGGCAGCCCCTTGCTCCTGTTCGGCCCAATTTTCTGCTCAATTTGTCTCAGCCCATCTGGCCTGCTCCGAGGCCTCCTTGGCTCTATAACTGCAATACATTCCAGCCTGACCCTTTGCTGGAACCCAGTTAGAACAGCAGCCTGACCCACTTTGGCATCCCGACACTGGTGCTACCCATTACATGACGAGTCAATCGTCTTTGGTTGCTCTCATGGAGCGTCCTTCTCCTTCTAATGTTTATTCGGGTAGGCAATAGTAATACTATGTACATTACCCGCATCGGCACCCTTCCTCCTTCGCTTGATTCCTTTAATTTTCATCTTCGCATTGTCTTTTTTCTTCCCGACCTTTGTAATTTTTTTTGTTGCTCGTTTCAATTTTTCTTCTGGAGCAGTTGATTCAACTACATTTGCTTTCTGGGATGTGTTTGGTTTCCGAGAAAATGTAGAACTTTGGGGGGGATAATTGAGTATTAGCCATTTACATTTGAGTATCTACGACTGTTTTGCTGGAAGAAAATAAAGAAAATGAATTTCTGGGTGTTTAGTTAATTGTGTTTTGATTTACATATTAAAATGCTAATTTCGGTTCGATTAGCCGAACAATGAGAGTGGTGGTCATTATATGATTATAATCTGCCCAAATTTTAGAATTCAAAATTTGATTCTGTCAGGCAATGTCTGTTTGTAAGGAACTGAATTGGTTATACTAATGCGAGTTTTGATTTGTACGATTGATTTTACTGCAGCAGACGAATCAGAGAAGTTTGTAGAAGCCTCAAAGAAGGGGAATTTAATTCCTCTGTCTCGGAGCATATTCTCGGATCATCTAACTCCTGTTCTTGCTTACCGGTGTCTGGTTAAGGAGGATGATAGAGATGCTCCAAGTTTTCTGTTTGAGTCAGTTGAGCCGGGTTCCAACGACTCCAATGTTGTAAGCGTCCTCAGCCCCTTGTATCATTTGTATTTGTTTGCATCTGACTTTAGACAATAATTAATCACTTACAAATTTTTGGAGTCAATCATTGTTAGGGCCGGTACAGTGTTATTGGTGCCCAACCATCCATTGAAATCGTGGCTAAGGAGAACATGGTTACCATTATGGACCACAGAGAAGGTTGTAGGACAGAGGAGATCGTGGAGGATCCAATGACTGTTCCTCGGAGAATCATGGAGGGATGGACACCCCAACTTCTTGATGAACTTCCAGAAGCATTTTGTGGTATGATCAGTACACAAATAACATGCTTTAAATTCTTTAGTAGTACTCATATCTTAATCCTCTCAGTTCAAAGTAAACCACTTCTCCTTAAATGTGGTTTGTTAACAAAGCTTAGACTCGTAAAGTTGTGGTGAAGTTATTTACTCCTTAAATGTGGTTTATTAACAAAGCTTAGACTTGTAAAGTTGTGGTGAAGTTATTTATAAAAATGAAGACCAAACTTTATTTAATTTTTTCCTTTTGTCTCAAAGTTTTGGACTAGGCAAGTAGAACTGTGGGCTATCAGTACAGCTCATATTTCCCTGTACATTTATTAGGTTGTAGATGTACTGTGTTGACACTAAGTATTGTGTGATATTCTGGACTCTCGCAAAAGACTTACTTGACACAAAATTGCCATAAATCTATCCTCGTATTATTGTATAATTCAGTCTTAAAAAATTGAGGTTTTCGAAGTCACTAGTTGGTGGTTAACAACATCCATTCTCTTTATCAGGCGGCTGGGTTGGTTACTTCTCTTATGATACAGTACGTTATGTTGAGAAGAAAAAGCTGCCATTTCCGAGTGCACCACCAGATGACAGAAATCTTCCTGATGTTCATCTTGGTCTTTATGATGATGTGATAGTGTTCGATCATGTGGACAAGGTACTGTGATTTTCATGCTAGATTTTAGTGAAGAAAATATATAAATTGGGGACACTTCGATTCAAATGCATGTCAGCATAAAGACATCTACTTTTTATTGTTAAATTAGTTTTTGTTCTTCCAAGTAACTCGCTCTTATGCTTAGTCTTTTTCTTCAAAGTTCTTGTTTGTTTTTTCCGCCACGTTGAATCAAAATATTTGCATCCTACTCCATTACTGAACTAGGAGAATTAGTTAACTGCATGCTTTGGTTGTAAATTTTTATTTTAACAAATAGGGTGCTACTATTGTGGCTATAACCATTTCTATTTTTCAATTTTGTCTACTATAGAAAGCACATG